CACTCAGGAGACATGAGGCAGTTGGATCTGAGTTTGAGACCAGTCTGATCTACATAGTGAGTTCCAAGACAGTCAGGGATACACAGTGAAACTTTGTCTCAAACAAAACAAACAAATTGTCTCACCATTCTGGAGCACAGAAGTCTGACTCAAGTTGCGAGGTGGTCCATGCTATTGTTGAAGGTTCCAGAAGACCTGGTCTTACTTCTTTTTAGCTCTGGTAGTTGTTGGAAAGCCCAGTTATGCAGCCTGTGCCTTCATGTCTCCAGAATGTGTCTTCAGATGTTCTTCAGTGTGTGTCCTCTGTCCTCACATTAGGGCAGGCCTTAATCTAGTATATCCTCAATTCTATCTATAAAACCTGCTTGTCTAATGAGGTCACAGCTGAAGGTTCTAAGTGGACATTAATTTTGGGCTGACACACTTATCACAAGAACAAATTATAATCAATGCATTAAACTTAGATGTTTATTTTTACATGTCACCTTGAGTGGACCAAGGGACACTAAGATGCCTAGCTAAGCATTCTTTCTTAGAATCTGAGGGTGTTCTGGATGGCTTAGCATTTTAATCAGCTAGCTGAACAGCTGCTTCACCCACCCCAACCCCACGCCCCACAGTGAGAGTTATATAGCAATTTCCTAAATGAAACAATCACCTTCAGGGAAGCTGTTTAAGGCAGAATGATCTAAGAAGAGGTAAAACATTCCATCCTGTAAAAACTCATTTTAGACACTAGATGTTCTGAAGCAGCGTTTCTGGATCTGTGGGTCATGACCTCTTTGGAAGGTTGCATATCAGATATCCTGCATATCAGATATTTACATTATAGTTCATAACAATAGCAAAATCACAGTTATGAAGTAGCAAGGAAATATATTTCTGGTTGGGGGTCACCACAACATGAGGAACTGTGTTAAAAGGTCACAGTGTTAGGAAGGTTGAGAACCACTGCTCTAGAGGAAGGTAAAACATTCCACCCTTCAGCGAAGTGTGCTAAGTTGAAGAAGTAAACAACTCAGCAGCTTTAGTAAGTTCCTAAAACCAACTAGATTCACAAGAGGAATCTCACCATCCCCCAAGGACACATAAGCCTCAAGGACTGTTGAGTCTCCAGTGAACTGAGGCAAGCTATGGAAGAGGCTCAGCCCAGAACCCCCCAGAAAAAGCGAGACCAGCAGAGCTGCCAGCAGGTTGTGCAACGCAGGTCTCCAGCTTTTGTAATGCACCTGGGGTGGGCTATAGTGATGGAGCAGTCGCTTCTGTAAGTAACTCCTTAAAACTCAGTGGTTCACCCAGTTGGACTTTGGAGGCATCCTTACTTTGGTCTGTTGCTGGTACCCTATCTGGGCTAAGCAGGCATTCACATCTCCCCCAAAACAGTGTAACATAATAGCATAGTTCAATCTTTTGAAAACCAAAGAAGACAAGAATTCTCTTGGGGTTGGAGAGATGGCTCAGCAGTTAAGAGCACTTGTTGCTCTTGCAGAGGACCTGGGTTAGATTCCAGCACCCATATGGTGGCTCACAACTGCCCGCAACTCCCGTTCCAGGGGCCAGATGCTCTCCTGATTTCTGTGAGCACCAACCACACACATGGTGCACACACATACATGCAGGCAAAACACTCACGTAAAATAATAAATCTAAAATATAATTCTCTTTGGCTGGAGCTCAGTAGTACACCCATTACCCCAATCCTATGTGTCATTTTGACTTGTCTCTTCCCCACTCACCCAACCCAATACACTAATACATGGGAAAGTCACCTACTTTGTCCCTCTGGAGATAATCTCCGTCTCTACCACTAGTGTCCAGGCCTACTTATTTTCACACTACCTAGTCACTCTAATATAGGTAATTCATTAACTTCCTGGAAGGAAGCCAGCCATAATTTATACTGAACATTCTATAAAGACTGATCAACTGATTACAACTTCAATGACAGTGATTGATTGAAATGTTGTGGGCCCAAGGACAAATATCTTATAACTTAATAAACATTTATTGTCCATCTCTGTGTGACTTAACATCATGTGACTCCCCTTGTGCTCTTACATGCACACAGTGTACAGAAACTCAAAGATATGTGTGCTTGTGCCCCTCCCCCTTAAAAAAAATCTACTTGGGGGCTAGAGAGATGGCTCAGAGGTTAAGAAGACTGGCTGCTCTTCCAGAGGTCCTGAGTTCAATTCCCAGCACCCACAATGGTGGCCCACAACCATCTGTAATGAGATCTGGTGCCCTCTTCTGGTGTGCAGGCAAACATGTAGGCAGAACACTGTATACATAATGAATAAGTCTAAAAAACAAAATTAAAAAAAAGTCTATTACCTAACAATTGGTTAAAAAAAAAAAAAATCAGTTTGGTCTTTGTAAGATCCAGGCCAACCTAGTGTATACAGTAAGTACCAGGCTGTCCAGGGCTACATCGTGAAGCCCTATCTCCAAACTATTGACATCACTAGAGCTATAACAAGAATCAGTTTTTTAGTTGAAATGTAATCAATCCATTGCCCTAATTATATACAGTGTACAGAACTCAGCCACACTGGCCTGTTGATCTTGAGTTTCAATGGTTCATCACGGGGTTTTCTTGTTACTTGTGCAGAACATGCCCTTACCCTCCATCTCGATCCTACCAACCTCCTTTCCGAAATCCTCGTGGTCCCTGGGGCTCTCAATCAATCTACCTCTAGAGATTTATAACTGTTACCAGACTAACAGCTCCAAATGAGCAAAGACCATGCCTGTTGCTTACTGATCCAGTATGGTAGACCAGCGTTAAGCAGTGTCTGCCAGATGATCAAAGGCATGACTCGAGACTGTGGGTAGGAGAAAATCGAGAACCCAGGCACTGTATATGAAAAAAAAGCATTCTGTCAGCATGGCTGGGCTCTAACATTTTTAGGTACTCTCTACCTCATCAAGGCTTACATATTGCTTTGGTCTCTGTTTCTTCAGTCAGTTTTAACTTAGCCACAACCTAAGTTCATAAGTTTTTAGCACTTAGTAATTTTCAAGTTCATTTTACTCTGATGGTGCTCAACCAGTAAGTAATCTTCCTTCGAACAAAAAAATCCAGAGCCAAATAATTACATTTGCTATTAAATAGTTCAAAACTTTAAGCTGATAGCTTAAGGATATATACATTATAAAACAAACTTTACAGGTTTTGTTTGTTTGGTTTTTTGAGACAGGGTTTCTCTGTGTAGTTTTGTGCCTTTCCCGGATCTCGCTCTGTAGACCAGGCTGGCCTCGAACTCACAAAGATCCGCCTGCCTCTGCCTCCCGAGTGCTGGGATTAAAGGCGTGCACCACCACAAACTTTACAGTTTTACATTAACAAAATATTAAACTCACAAGCAACTTTTACTGAACCACTGATACATATTTAACATCTTAAGTATAAAAGATCACACGATTTAACTAGAAAACATGTGAAAAGTCAGAAATGTTTCTATACATATGAAATGGAGCTATATTTTTTCTGTTAAGACAGAACTAGAGTAGTTTAAGGCTGACCTTAAACTCAGAGATCTGCCTGCCTCTGCCTTCCAAGTGCAGGACCGCAGGCTTCCACCACCACACCCAGGTGAACTTATTTTATGGACAAGTCCACAGAGACTGCAAGTAGGTCTATGGCTTTAAATGATACTTGATTCAGGTTCAGCTTCTAGTTAGTCTGTTTAATTTCCAGTTCTAGGTAAGCAAGAAACAGCCTACCTGGAGAGATGGCTTAGTGGCTAAGAGCACTGACTGCTCTTCCAGAGGTCCTGAGTTCAATTCCCAGCAACCACATGGTGTCTCACAACCACCCATAATGAAATCTGGTGCCCTCTTCTGGCCTGCAAGGACACATGTAGGCAGAACACTGTATACATAATAAATAAATCTAAAAAAAAAGAAACAGCCTACCTACAAAGGCTGTCTGAAAGTTAAACCAGATAACACGTGGGAACACTTGCTAGTTTATATTCAAAGGTTAGAAGGGCAGACAGAAGTGTCAGAGCATTCTAGTATGTATTGGTTATAAAATAACAGGATTAAACAAAACACTAATAATTTACCAAAGCAAATCATCATACTGCATTAAGTCAGAGAATAACTCACAGTGATCAAAATGTTATTTCAAAGGGAAAGAACAGAATACGGATAAGCTATTTGTAAACTCCTGTAAAAGACATTATATTAATGATTTAAAGTCTTTGTAGTGCATTGATACATGCGAGAGAGACAAGAGAGACAGAGAGAGACAGAGAGACAGAGAGAGAGAGACAGATAGAAAGAGACAACCGTGGGAGTTGGTTCTCTCCCTACAAAACATGGAACTTGGGAACCCAACTTAGCTGCTGAGTCACCTTAGAGTCAGAATTGACTTCTTAAAAATGTTTGAGAATTTGCTTACTTTTTTTTTGGCAATAAAACATAAAATGCACCCTTCCCGCCCCCCTTACCTTCTTGTAGTTGATCCACTTTGCCCCCAAGCACCCGTGGGCAGTGAGACTGATGGGTGACCTCTCTGAGCCACTAAGGCCACACTGGAGTTCTTGCCTGGGGCTCAAGGGAGGAAGGGTGCTGAACAGAACTCAAGGATTCCATTTTCACTTGCTCAGTGGAACCTCAATAGAACTTACCTGAACTTTCTTCCTTTGCTTGTCAGTAAATAAGGAGAAAATATTACAAATACTTGAATTCATCACAAGTATTCTGTCTACTTTTCAATGTAACATTTCTTGACAATTAGTTATCAGGTTCCGACTTAATTTAATATTTATAAATTTGGAAAACTTATCAACAAGTTATCAAAACAAGGGCCTTGTTTTTTGGCCATGAATGTACAACGATATATGCTTTGCCATTATCCTCATGAGGAAGGCAAAATAAAGACAGCAGAAGTCATTAGAAGTCCAGTAGATTTTTTTGAACTTTTTAAGATACAAGAAAAGGTGCAATCAAATCAACTAATCATTAAATAAATTTAAATATGAACCACATGAGAATGTAAATTAAGTAGTTTATTTGTTCAGCATATTATCATTGTGGGTTTAAGGCCTTATCTGTTAGAGATATAAATTGAGTATAAACATGAAAGTATTTGTACTATGTATGTTTTAACTACTCTGGTTTAAAAAAGCAATGTGATATAGGGATGGCAGATGGATAATATGGTAGACCAGAGTATTTTCATGTCCCTGTTGTCTACGATTAACAAATTAATGAGATTTCATGTCCCCATACCAGGTGTCTGGTGTCACGAGCCAGTGCTGAGGGACACTGCTGTCAACTTACAATGGGGAGTCGTCTGCACTGGGGAGGGGGTGGTGACAGGCAGGGAGAGCTAGAAGGAATGCATTGTGACTAGAGTCTCCTACAACTCTTGGAGATCAGCAACAGCCATTATGTCAGAGTTGATGCATCATAAAAAGTGAATCAGGGTGAGCAGTTCCTGCTCTGCCAGGTTCGAAGTCACTACACAGTAGCCACCACTCCGTTTCTTGGTACAACACATCACCAAAACTACTGACAGAATTACATCCTCAATACGCAAAAACTGCTGATGCCATTTAGCTCAAATTCACAAAAGAGCATTTTTTACACCAGATGCAACTTTACGTATTCAAAAACAATAACCTAGAAGTCTTAGCTGAAGGTTAAACAGGAGCCCAAGTGAACTGCATCACCAAGATGAAATGCTGTTGGCTGCTTTCAGACATTTACAAATGTCTTGTTTTCTGTCTAACCTGATATTCCATCCACATAGAAAAAGGCATTCGGTTTCTTTATTTTTTTTATTTGACAAGCAGCAACATCATGTTTGTCATTTGAATGTAGATACAATTATTAGGTTATCTGTCATATTACAATATTTAAGTTTTTATTTTATGTCCTTTAAGATACATTTAAAAAAAAAAAAAACACATCAACTGCAAACGTGAAGGGGAGAAAGCATGGTACCCAACCAAATCCCACATTTCAGCAATACTTCACTCATTCTTTTAATAAAGTTTTAAGAAATGTCATAATGACATGAGCTTGAAATATCTCTAGGCATTTTCTGTGACGCTCATGACGTGGCACTGGTGATGTTGTAAACAGCAGAAAAACAGGGGCTGCCAAATGACCAAAGTATGGAGGCACAGGCCTGCTTTTTCCCACAGGAGCACACCAAATGGTGATGGCAATGACCTCACACCCACACCAGGAGAGGGTGTCACGCGACGTAACTGTATTCATCTGCAGATGCTTGGCTGCGCTCAATATACTGCTTGTCTATCAGAACTTCTATGCACTTCTTAATCATGCTGATACTGGGATTGAACCTGGCTCTTGACTGGCTTATTACCTGTGAGAGAGACAGGGAGTCAAATTATCTCTAGTTAGTAAGCATCAGCATCCACTTCCAGCCCATTAGCTGTAGGGAACTTCACTCTGGAGATTTCAACAGACCTCCCTAAAGGAAAAGGGTGCTTAAATGTTGAACCGAAAAAAGGTTCTGTAACAGACAGACCTGATGTAGCAAATAACACATCATATGCAATACTCACTGACCACAGAACAAGGCAGTGCACAGGGAGACCACTAACCAGAGCTATCAGTGTTTACATGAGGAGAAAAGTAAGTTTGTATGCAAACTAAAGGAAAAACCCAATGCTTGCATTATTGAGGAATTAAAGTGCAGAATATAAGATGCACCAAAATAGTAAAACTTATGCATAAGCAAAATTACCAACGTTGTCATCTACCTACATATTTAACATGCTGCCCAGTCTATTTAATGCTAACTCTACTTTAATTCTGGTATATATTCTTCTACCACAAACCTTTCTTTCAGCAAGTTAGGATCTCTGCACTGCAGAGCAGACTTAGGGTGTTTTGTCCCACACAAATATCTCTGTATAAAGGGAATGAACAAACATTCGAACACTTACTGAAGTGTTCCCTTTTTCCAGATGGACAGGCGATTTCGCAGTTTCGCACAAAATGTGGCAAGTCTAGGATCTCTAAGTTCAAAACAGAGCAATGCTGGCTCCATCACTGAAACGGTGAGAACTCTTTAGAACCGACCTTTCTTTATGCCATTTGGTCAGTACGAGTTGTCTCCACCTTAACAAGGCACACTACAAAACCCCGCGGACCCCCTACCTCTTGAATGAGGGCGTTGTGCCGAAGCACTTTGCGCGCTTTCATGATGCGGACGATAGCAGCTTGGAGATACATTTTCCGGTCCTCGTCTACAGCGCTTCTAGTCTGTTCCAGTTCCTGTTTTTGTGGAAAACGAGGGTGACCCACAAACAGGACACTGTCACAGAGTGTTTTAATTTCTCTAGTGGATTTTTTAAACTCTAGTTACTAGTTAGCACCAGGAGCTAGAGACAGCTCAGCAGTCAAGAGCATTTGCTGCTTTCACAGAAGACCCAGGCTTTCACACAGCATTCACACAAGTCCCTCTCTTCTGAACTCCTCTTGCCTCAGGCATGAATGAGGTGGACATACACTCAGACATACAAAATAAAAAAAGTCTTAAAAAACAAATTATACACTCAGAGAGCTGGGGAATTCGGGCAGTTGGTAAAGTGCTTGTTATACACACTACAGATCATGGAAGAGCTGATTCTATCTTCAGCACCCATGTAAGAAACCAGGTATGGTGGTGTGTGTGTGTGTGTGTGTGTGTGTGTGTGTGTGTGTGTGTGTGCTGCCACTGTAAGTCAGTCAGCCTAGGTATGGTGGTGTGTGTGTGTGTGTGTGTGTGTGTGTGTGTGTGTGTGTGTGTGTGTGTGTGTGTGTGTGTGCTGCCACTGTAAGTCAGTCAGCCTAGACTACTTGGCCATTATAGACCAGTGAGGAAAATGCTCTCTCAGATTAAGAAAGGAAGTCTTGACTCAATACCTATATTCATTCATTCATTCATTCACTCATTCATATACTCTCTCTCCCTTACCCACCCACCACCCTCACCTCATACAGTTAATGTTTGCTAAGAAAGAAGCATTTTGCTCAGTAGTGTAGACACTGATAAGTTGCCCAAGTTCCTTTAAGGAATCCTTATTAAACTTATGGAGTCAATACAAATAAAAACAAAGAGGGCCGATTGGGAAGAGGGTATCTGCAGAGTGATAGGGGATGAGAGAGAAATACATTGTATACACAAATGAAAATATCACAACAAAACCTACCACTATTTATAACTGACATGTGCTAATTAATGAGTAGATAACTCAACTGGAGCTCTCTGAATAAGCTGCCTATTTTTCAAACACTAACATACTTGCAGGCATTTAATTCTAAGGCCAACAAATGCAAGAATAAACCAGAAAAGCTTTATCATAGTATTGACTTTAGAGTGCAAAGGTTTGCTTCGTCTTGGTATACAATGGACTCATTCAATTCCCTGCTGAACTATTTCTAAGAGAACTGACATTCAAACAAGCACTTACTTGTGGTGTGTCCTTCTGCATTGACGTAGTAATTTTAAATTTTGTTCTCTTACTGCTGAAGCTCATATTTAATGAAAATGAAGATTCTGCATCAATATCTTCCTGTATTTAAAACAAAAACTTGTTTCTAATTTCACATTTACCAGAATTTTAATCAGTTTCTATTTAAGCAGTAGCTATTTCCAGGCCCAGCCATTACATATCCTATCTACCTCTGTATACTAAAAAGGCTGCAGTAACCACACTGTTGGCAATTGAGCCAACTCCAGAGGACGCTGTCCTCCCAAGGCTCAGATGCATCCAGCTGACCCCCCAATAGGACTTTGTTCATTTGTGGAAAAGCCAGTGGCCTCTTCTCATGATAAAGTTGCTAAGCTAATTACAGAGTCACATGGATGACACCACAACCTTAAAACTGCCAATATCCCATAAAAGAACTTTCATCTGCTAGAGCTTGACGTCCCCTGGGAACGTTACCTTTTCTGAATCATGGTTAATCATTTTTACATCAAGTAATGATTTAATTGTTTTGGTCAGCTCCTTTTCATTCATCTGAGTGCTGTCTTGAAGTTCTTTGTAGCTGACAGTTTCACTGTTGTTAAAGGCAAGAAGAACTGCCATTTGGTAGGTCGTAACCATAGCTACATATGGTTTTCCCAAATAGTTCATTTTAACTTCACCTACAATTAAAACAAAAATTGACGGCATACTGATCATCCAAACTGTTTTCATTTCAAAGCTGTCATATTAATATTTTGGATTGTTTTTCCCTAAAAAAGTAAACCAAAGACATCTTAAAGCTACCGTAGTGAAGGCATTCCAAAGTTCTTGTTTGTAAGACATGGGGCTGCCATGTGGGAGTACTGAGTATGTAGTATACAGTAAAAGCTGACCTATTACAATGTTGTCAGCACTGAAGCATAAACAGCAACAGGAAAGCTAAGGCAGAACAGAGGGGAGACAGACACAACAGAGTGGAAGATGGAAAGGGAGAGAGAGGGAGAGAGAGGGAGAGAAACACAGAGAGAGAGAGAGAGAGAGAGAGAGAGAGAGAGAGAGAGAGAGAGAGAGAGGAGAGACCACCAGGAACTACCACTAACTGCTTGCGTGTTCTCTAAGTCTGATGGCCCGAGTTCAACCCTGGTATCTACACTGTGGAAGAAGAGAATCGAGTCCCAAAGTTTTCCTCTGATGTCCCCATGCCAGATGTGGCATGCCTGGGTGTACTTCACCAACACAGATACAGACCAAGATGGCCTCAAACTCACAGAGATTCAGTGAATTCTGCCTTCCCAGTTATGGAATTAAAAGTGTCAGCATCCACCACGGGCAATTTTTCAAAAGTTAAAAAAACAAAACAAAAAAACCAAAAAACCCAGACAGGTGGTGGTGGCGCACACCTTTAACCCCAGCACTCGGGAGGCAGAGGCAGGTAGATTGCCAAGTTTGAGGCCAGCCTGGTCTACAGAGTGAGTTCCAGGACAGCCAGGGTTACACAGGAAAACCCTGTCTCAAAAATAAATAAAATAAAATAAAAGGACCTGAGTTGGAATCCCTAGAACCCACAGAAAGCTAGGCCCAGGGCACACATCTGTACTGTCAATGACAAGCACGGGCGAGCTTGCTGGGTAGCTATAACTGAACTAGTGAGCTACAGGTCCAGTAAGAGGTAATGTCTCAAAAAATAAGGGGGAGGAAGTCAGTCAATGTTGACCCTGATCTCCATACGTACCCAGAAGGTGAGCACATTCATGTGTATACCCATGCATAACTTAAACACAAATTAATCAATTAAAATAATTTGAGAATAAGGGACTACCAGTGATCAGCCCTAAATGGACAAGGTTCAAGGGCTCTGTAGCAAAAGGGATAGGAAGAACTGGAGGTTGGGAAAGAGTGCTTCTGGATGTGACATGTACCTCTGACCTCGCAGCAGCTACCTGTTACAGACTTTCAAGGCTGGTCTGATCAGCATCCCCAGTGGATTATGGTAAATAAATGAAGCAGGTCACACACATGCACACTCAGACAAAAAAGGAGAGCTTGTTGGGAATCAGGGTTCAGTGGGAGGGTATAGATAACAGAGAATATGAACAAAGTACATTATGATTTTTGTATTTTATTTTTCATATACATAGGTATGAAATTAAAGATAAAAATGTAGAGATCAAACATATTTCACAAGGAGGAAAAAAATCAGAATAGGTGATTTAGTCAATAAACTTACACAAACAGTGCAGTACTATTAATGTGAACCATACTCTGAGATGTAAACCAGTCAAACAAAAGACAGATTACACTGGTACTGAGATGCAATCTTTGAGGTAACAGGGGGTTCCTAATAAAGGTCACGGCAGTAAGGTATATTTCCTTGTACCTTTTTTTTCTTTTTGTTTGTAGTTTAATTTTATGTGTTTAATTTTATGCATGTTTTGCCTGCATGTATGTTTGCACAACACTCGTGCCTGGCCCCTGTGGAGGCCTGAAGAGGGTGTCAGATCCCCTGGAAGTGGAGTTACAACCGGCTGTGAACTGGCCTGTGGGTGCTGGGTCCCTCCTCATATCATATCTATGAGATAATACCACACCTTTGCTCCTTGTACAGAGGGAAAGCTGACTCACGGCTCTTCCCAAAGCCTAAGAAAAAGAATATGTGACTTTGCTTTGGCTGAACATCTCTAGGGAACCAAGAAGAAAGGCCATCTTAGATAGGTACTTCTATTCTGACACTTCACGACAGCACTGTAAGTAAGTCAATGCACAGAGATAGGGAAACTTAGAATATCTAACCCATCAGCAGTCTGCTTTTCTAAACAAAGTCTCTAATATCTATAAAATGATGGGCTACAAAAATGGACTGTCATAAAACTCAAAGTGTTTTAAAAGGAACATTATCAACAGCATTATAGACACAGTTGAATAAGGAAAATGGATTAAAAACTAGAATTAGGGTACAGAAATTACTGTTCTAAATTAACACAATCAGGTAAATATCATTAAACAAATAGTAATTAAATGTGCTTTACCTGTACAGAGATAATGTAACCACGTCAGTTTCCTTCCACTGAAATGCTGGCTATAAAATAATTCAAACTGTTGAAAGAGAGAGATGGATGTCAAGCTATTTAAGTCCTGTAAATTATTACCATACTGAAAAGGTAAAAGCATCTTAGTCCATCTAATGATATACCTTGTCCAGGGTACCTGCTCAAGATCATGAATAATCCAACTACTACATAGGGGTGCTAGTACTAATCTAAGGTCAATCTGCTGAGTCAGCAGTGACTTGCTGCTCCAGATTCCTGCACATAAAGCATTCTACCCATGCAGAGCGCTAAGAGCTATTTTAGTTTCCCAGGGACGTGAAAGCTAAGACAGACATTCACTTGAGCCCAGAAGTTTGAGGCCACCGTGGAAAACTAAAAAAGGAAGGGCAGAGTAACTCAGACAACTGCCTGCCTATGAAGGGACAGGCAAGTCTATGGAAATAGTTCTCTGCTACAATCTGAGTTCCTACGACAGACATGTCATCATGTATTTAACTATTCCAGCTTGTGTGTGTATGCCTGTGAAGGGTAGGAGTTAACATGGGCCTGTCTTCCTCGATCACTCCTCCACAGTACTTTGAGAAAAGGCTTCACTGAATCTGGAGCTTGCTATCTGGCTGCACTGGTCAGCCAGGAGCTCCCAGTGTCCTTGTGTCTTCTCCCTGGCCAGCACTGGGCATTAGAATCTGAACTCGGGCCCTCCAGGTCCTCGTGAATGAGCAGCAATCACTTCACCCGCTGAGCCGACCCATCAGTCCTATCCCAGCTCTTTATTTACAGCCCATCCAGTTTTCCCAAACCTCAGCCCCTGAAAATTTTACATCTTTGCATAAAACCAGAAATAACATCAATAGCAATTTATCACTGTTATTAATCTGAACTTTATAGATTCTGTTAAAGATCAAATATACCATCACATATATTTCAACATGAAAGTCATACCTACATTTACTAATACAGACTTCCATAAGTGACAGGCTAACCAATGTATATGTGCGGTTAATACAAAACAGGGTCCATTACTTAACATCCATGTCAACAATGACATGAACAAAGCTGTGGGGTTCAAGGTACCTCTCTGTCCACAGTCTTTTGTTGATATTATTACATTTAAATTTATAATTGTTTGGACACTAGTCTAAAGAGATGAACTAGCAGTTAAGAACACATACTGCTCTTGCAAATGCCATTCTGGTTCCCAGCATCCACAAGAAAATTGGCTACTAGCTACACATAACTGCAGTTCTAGGGGTTTCCACCATCTTGTCTCACCTGTGGGTACCTGCACTCACATGTACATACCCAAAGACAGACAAATGATACACGTTAGATACACATATACAATTAAAATAAGAATAAATTTTTGTTTTTTGTTTTTTTTTTGGTTTTTCGAGACAGGGTTTCTCTGTGTAGCTTTGCGCCTTTCCTGGAACCCACTTGGTAGTCCAGGCTGGCCTTGAACTCACAGAGATCCGCCTGGCTCTGCCTCCCGAGTGCTGGGATTAAAGGCGTGCGCCACCACCGCCCGGCTAAGAATAAATTTTTAAAAAATTTTATCAAAGCTTTGAAATTTTAAAAATTCCTTCCCTGGATTGAATGTGTAAAAGGCAATAGTACCAAAATACATTGTTCACATTTTCTTTTTTTTTGGACATGGGGTCTCAGACAGTCCAGGTGGCCTTTAGCTTAATACATAACTGAGGAGGACTTTGATCTTCTGATCCTCCTGCCTCCACCTCCTGTATGCTAGGATTACAGGTGTGTAACACCACACTTGGTTTTGTGATGGAGTGGAACCCAGGGCTTCCTGCATGAGCTATATTTATAGTTCACATTTTATATTTCATTTTATTTTATATTTCATTTTTAATTTAAAAAGTTGCTGGGCATGGTGGCACAAGCCTTTAATCCCAACACTTGGGAGGCAGATGCATGTGGATCTCTGTGAGTTTGAGGCCAGTCTGGTTCCAGTGAGTTCCAGGACAGCCAGGGCTACACAGAGAAACCCTGTCTCGAAAAACAAACAAACAAAATATATACTCATGTATTTACTCATTTGTGTGAGCGTGCATGCGTGCCTACATCCATACACATGGAGTCAGCAAACAATCTATAAAAGGTCAGCCTTTTAGGATTTATGTCCTACTTAACAGAGATTTTCACTTAAATATGTAGCGCGCAAGCACACACGCACACTTTTTTTTTTTGTTTTTCAAGATAGGGTTTCTCTGTGTAACAGCCCTGGCTGTCCTGGAATTCACTCTGTAGCCCAGGCTGGCCTCAAACTCGTAAGAGATCCATCTGCCTCTGCCTCCCGAGTGCTGGGATTTAAGATGTGTATCACCACTGCTTGACTTCATATATATATATATATATGAGGTTCTCACTATATACTTAACATTCGCCTCAATGACAGGAAAATTAAAATGTTACTAGGACTAAATGAAGCATACACGTGACCTCAAAATTCAAATGGAAAGGTAAGACAACACTGAAGCTTTCTCTTTTTTCTAAACTAATGTACATTTATTTGTGTGGGGTGGTGGAGTACTGTCCATGTTATGGGCCACACGTGAAAGTGAGAGGACACTCTGTGGGAGCTGGTTCTCTCCATCAATCATGTGGGGTCTGGAAACTGAAGCCAGATTGTCAGGCTTGGTGGCAAGTGCCATTACCCACTGAGCCATTCATCAAATCAGCCCTAAGCCTTAGTATAAGGCCAAAACCTTCATGAATTACAAGTGCTGAAGAACTGGTAGGGTTACTATGAATCACGCATAGATCCCAAACCGAAACACACACACACACACACACACACACACACACACACACACACACACACACACAGTCATTACAATGCCTTTGTTCACTGGTATCTTTCCTGCACACTTACCATCTGTACACTTTTTTCTAACTCTTGGGGAATCGCAAATGTGGATGAAGGAGCCTGAGTGAGAGGCCATGCACCAGCCTAGAAAGGAACAGTGAAATGAAAAGTTCAGCAGAGAGACATCTACCATGCAAACAAGCAGCTGAGACAGACTTTTCCCTTTCACATAATGCTTACAGTGCTATGGCCTTCACCATCAGGACACAGTTTATTCCCACTCTATAAAGTGTGGCCCACAATTCACCAGCTGACCATGCATTATCATCAAGTCATTTGCTAATCTTTATATCACACTGTGAAATTCATAAATGTGAAGAAGTACTGTTATACCTGAAGGACATATATTTGGAAACTAATCCCCAAATCTATCACTGTGTCTTGGTTTCTGATGAAATTGTTGAACTTGTTGTTGAGATCGGCACTGACACTCATGTCTGTGTACATCCGATGCAGCTTGCTGGTAAACTCGTAACCACAGGCTTGCTGGAAAACAAATCGCAAAGCACATAACCTAAACAGAATAATCAGTCAGGGATGAATATGGAGACCAGAGCTCTGTTTGCTTTCTTTCGTTCTTTTAAATTAGTACTGAACTTGGAGATCAATCTAAATCAATGGACTTCTGGTCTTTTGAGTCACATACTGACATTTATAGCATCGTATGCAAATACACTTATGTCTGACCACTTACATAGCCCACTGTATGCTCCCACATTAAGGACTGGACTGCTGTGAATTATGCAGTCATTACATACAATGAGCTATTTGGCTGTTGGTATAATGATTTCTATGATATTATCACACTAAAGATTTGTGTTACCTTTAATTTATTGATCATGGCTTCTTCAGAATCCATAGACATAGACAACCCGTGAATTAGACGTTTCGCTAGCATTCTTGCATAGAACTGCATGAAAATGTAAATGGTTACTTTCATTATGACTTGAAGTTCAAAATAAAGCAAAGCTGATAACTGCAATCTGAACATTTCATTCAGCTCACCTTCTGAAAAACGTCTTTGTCATCGATGTATTTGAAAACCGTGATGAAGCTGGTGAGCTTGTCCTCCACTTCATTTTCAGTCATGCCCTTTGCTGACTTCTTCAGCAAGTTGTCACAGTACTTAGCAAGCTCAAAAAGAGATTGATAATAATAAATCTTACACAGGGCCCTTGGGATAGACACCTCTAAGGTGCCAACACAAAACATGAACAGGTGGTCACTTAGAACTGATGTAAGGGCCTAACCAGGAGAACAAGCCAGTAAATCGTCACCAGCAACAGCACAAAAGCAAAGCAATGTGCCTCAACAGATGCTGTAAGTTGTCAAGTCCTAAAATTATGCTTTAAAGTTATGAATGTAAAATATGCATGATCAGGTAAGTTTTCAAAACACTAAAACTAAAAAAAAAAAAGAACAATCTAACCAGCAATTAGTGACCATAATAAGCAGTATACTTTTCTTTTTAATAGGGTCATGCTATTTGTGAAATATGTTCTCCTTTGGTTAAGGGCACATGGTCTAATACATTCTGCACATAAATTCAAAACTATATATAATACAATTTTCATCCTCTGAAAAAAGTACACAAAACAAATGAATTTGCCAGTCTACTAACTTTCCTCTACTGACTTTGCATGAGATTACTTTTAAGCAACTAGACTTACCAGTTCAGGTGCTTTACAAACAGACTTGGGTTCTCTGTAATTTACAACCGATGTAAGAGCCTACAAGAAGACAGCCCATGATTAATTACAGAAGCAGGCAAGAGCACAGAGGAGGCTGAGGCTCAGCTGTAATCATGTCTACAGTACCCACGGCTCAGCCAGCTCACTGTCTAGTGTGTGAACGTGTAAGTGTTCTACGTGTGGAGGCAAGGTCTACCTTAGCTATTACTGTTCTTCAGGAGCCGTCCACCATGTGTTTTGAGGCAGTCTGTCACTGAGTGCTAAGCTAACTAACTGGACAGCAAACTCCATGACCCTTAACTTCACCTCCCCAGCACTGGGATTCTACTACCACACCATTGTTTTTTCACTCAGGTGCTAAGACTGAACTATTTCCCCAGCAACTCTTAAGGCTATGTGTCAAAAGGGATATCAACCCTGGGCCCTTCTTTTCTTTCTCTACTTCTTTGGGTCACTATTAGGTGAACAGTTTCATCTACCATTAAAGGCAACACGGTCAATTACCAAGGCAGAAACTTCTGAAATGCTGAGTTAAAAAAAAAAGTATTTCTTTCTAATTAGCTCAGTATTTTGTCATGCTGACAGAAAGCTAACTTACCACACAAACCAAAATACTGTTATAAGAATTACCTGTGCTCTTCATTATAAGATGGTATTTGCTATTCATCACTGAAATATTAGCAGTACTTATTGATATTTTACAACCTGAAGGTGAATTTCCTATGTCAAATACCAATTCAAATTCCTGGTGTCTTTCAAACCAAGAATGAATACAGCCTAAATATGGTAAAAGCTGTAGGAAAATACCAGTCCTACCACTGTCAGGACCATACAAAGGAAGTATCAGCACTAGCAGACAATAGGATTATGCACACCAGTGTACTAATAACAGTAATACTGACATAGGAAACTCTATGGGTGCTCACTGTAACAACTTTAAAACTTAGACTCTCAAATTCAAAGTGGTTATTTAATGAGAATTCAAGTGTCTCAAAGATCTCAAACTTGGATGCCTAACAAAGATGCCTACTTGAAAATTATACATTACAGGTTAAAGAGAATTTCATGTACATATAGCATGTGCACATAGTTGTTTAAAAGTTACCTTATCTAAAGCACTCATAAAATGCTGATCACCATTCAAAACAGTGTTGATAAGTTGAACAAATTTACCATGTACTTCCAAAACTGATTCCACAAATAGTGTTGGCATCTAAAAACATAAAATACAAAGTATAAATCCACATTTTAAGATTGAAGAGTAAATGCTTACACTCTCAAATTATTACACACACACACACCCCGCCCCACACCCCGCCCCACACCCACCATCTCTAGCTACACTGGTCTTAAAAATCTACCTCTTCTACCAAATGGGACCACAAGGTCTAACAAGTCCTCTGCCCCATAAACCCACCCACTCTGATGCTGGAACACCATGCCTTAAGATCACAGGGTGAACCCCTAAATCCTGGGCCTGTCAACACCAGGCGGCTATCTAAAGAACACCTGAATGCTGGGAGAAGAGGATTAGAAAGTCCGTGCCTGTGAGAATGAGACCCTGGAGTTGGGCAGAATTCACTCCCCATAGTTTAGAGGGACAGAACACTTAAGAGTCTCCCTCTGGAAGAAAATGACTGCAAATGCGTATTCTCACATTTTAGCCTTGAAATGAGGCTGTTTTTGTTCAATGTCACTCAATACTCTGAATCTGCAAACCTAGTAGTAAATTTTGAACATGCTTAGTAATAACACCGACAATACATGGTCATTAGCTGGTAGAAGCCTCTTCAGAGATGAGGGTTAGGGAAGCTGAGGGTGAGTGACTATGGCATTTAGAATGGCAAGCACAGAGGCAGAAGAGATTTTAAATCTGCCACCCACAAAGAAACACAATTATAAAGAAACTGCAAATAGTTTCCTGTCAGAAGGTTAACAAATGCTCCATGGCAATCAGCACTGTTAGGGAGTAGCTGCTCTCAACGGTTTCTCACTATTTAATAACCCCAGGAAGAACTCACTAAGTTTGAGTTTTAAAACATCTGAATATAAATGGCTTAGTTTCTTTTGACAAAATACTTGTTTATAAACCATCAACGTCAAAAGAAAAGCTCTCCAAGTCTGGTTAAGAACACATCCTAGCCGGGCGGTGGTGGCGCACGCCTTTAATCCCAGCACTCGGGAGGCAGAGGCAGGCGGATCTTTGTGAGTTCGAGGCCAGTCTGGTCTACAGCGTGAGATCCAGGAAAGGCACCAAAGCTACACAGAGAAACCCTGTCTCGAAAAACCAAAAAAAAAAAAAAAAAAAGAACACATCCTAACTCTTCTGTGCAACTCACATGTTCCTGAGTAAGGTTACTGGTCGCTCTAAGGCCCTCATCGTGGATGTGATTCTGCAGCTCCTGAATCATGTGAGGTAAGCCAGTAGACACGGCACGGAGCAGGACGTACATATTTGCCATGTCTGAGAGAAAAAAAGAGTTTATTAAGCTACAAACAACCTTATTATGCAATACATGCTTTACAATGTAGAAGTTAAAGGAACATGTGGATAAAAGGCATGAACACAAACACACACACTCACTTTCCAGCCTCCTTACCTCCCTTCCCACAAGAAAGCAATGTTGTTGTTGCTTACTATGTAATGATAACGGAGGAACATTCAAGAAAATACATATTCTTCTCTTTTTCTTTTACTCAAGTGCTACTGTGTGTTACGTGTGCTATTGGCAACTTCAGAATATCTTAACTTATAAGTATTTTATACTGGTACATGAAGCAATTCCACATATTTCACAACTTTATTACAATTACTGGGAAATTAAGTTGTACCATGGGGAAGAGTATTTGAAGTATAAACCCCTAAAGATGCTATGGTTGTATCGATCTTGTAGGAGATCCTCTAGGCAGATAATCAAACAGCAGGAAGCGCCTGTGCCAATGAACAGATGATGCCTGTGTATACTGTGTTTATCTTCAACGTCTTATTGAGGTGTTAAAATACACGCAGACAACTGTCCATAGCTTAGTTATATGGCTCTGTGAACTTTTACAAATGAACACACAACACCCTACATATGCACATCCAGGCTTAACAGACAGACATTACCTATACCTAGAAATGCCCAACATCCATCTCCTAACCACTACTGCTCCTCTGCCAATGTAAAGCCAACACAGGCTGAGCTCCCCTGGCCTGAACTATGAACACAAATAATAACACAATGCTTCTGGCTGATTTCTTTTGTTCAACGTGACATTTAAGGCTCATCTGTGTTGTATTTAGCTTTAGTGTGTTCATTTCTCTTCTGTAATAGTCTCTGGTATAAGCATCACTGGACATGTGGGTTGGTTCTAGTCATTACAAATAATGTTGCTATAAAGACCCTTGTACATTTTTGTACACACATGCATCTATGCATAGGGAAGGAGCCTCATGCCTAGGAGACTTGCTGGACCATAAAATATACATGTATATTGCTTTGGTACTCAGTGTTAGCTTTGTAATCCGGCTGCATCAATTTATACTCCCATACCAGGGTACAAGAAATTCCTGGTATTCTACATGCTTCCTATTATGTCCTATTGTTATTCTGACTACACAGCAACTGAACGTTTTCACCATTTATTGCTAGTATTCCAGTATACTTCTGCTTTAAACTGAGTTAGATTGAACACTCCTGTTTTATCCTTCCTGATTCTTATATTTCTTTCTCATAGTCTGATTTTCTACTGTAGATAATGAATTCTCAACATATTAAGCAAAGTAACCCTTGAGATATATAAAAGCATAAACACATTTCCTAATCTTTCTACTTTAGACTATACTTTGAAAACGCTTTTCCAAAAGTAAACTATATTGAGTCAGAAATGAATATATAATATACCAGGGAGTATTAAAGTGGGCTTTAAATCTAAGGTAAGTAGCAAGCGATAGACAACTTGGATGTATCACTTAATTTCCACTCCCATGTCCAATGGGCACTCTTACCATTCTTTCTTTCTTGCCGAATGATGTTGTGGCACTCTGCGTGTAAGAACTGTAAGTGGTCTGCTACCATCCGTTGCTGACACTCGTGAATCACTTTAGTATATGAACTTGGATGCAAGTATTTCCGACATCTAATTTCTTCATCTTTTAATCTACCTAGAACCTACAGAAATATATCCTTATAATCATGAACTATGATACAAACATCAGCCAACTCTTACTGCCTCTAGGGGAATGCAGGTAAGGTTATGGAAAAGCTTTACACAACCAATTTCAACTACAATTTATAAGTCATTTCAGATCTACTTAGGTTACCCCTCACCTACATCCCCCACTACATTCTGAACAAGAACTACCTTCACTCATCAGCCCAAAGCACCTGCTGTATCAGGAGCCCAACACAAAACAGGAGTGAAGTATGAAGATCAACACATGAAGTAGATTTTTTTCCTTGTTTCCATTTTATGAAATGGGAACAAACTACACAAACCATCCTTATCTGTCACATTAAAGACCCCTCCCTCAGACAGGGTTTCTCTGGGTAGCCGTCCTGACTGTCTGGAATTCGATCTGTAGACCAGGCTGGCCTAGAACTCAAGAGATCCGCCTGCCTCTGCCTCCCCAGTGCTGGGATTAAAGGCGTGCGCCACCAATGCCTGGCTTAAAGACTTTTATAGTGAGTCAAATATGTCAACCAAGATCTTTTATTAAAGATTTATGCTATATGGAAAGGAATCAAATGCAAATAAAATGCAGTCCAATACAAAGTTAATCAAAATGGGAGGTAAAGAACCTGAGTAATTCTTTAACAAAACAAAACTACAATATGGTAGCCATTAAGACTATACTAGCAAGGCACATAGAAGTAAGCTGTGTGGACTAGGAAACCACTCTGTGATGTAAAGGTAAGGAAATCAAGTTTATGGACTTAATTGACCCTAAGGAATTATCTAAGTGTGACCTTTGAAAGACTGGTGGTCATTTGTCAGGAAACAAGGAAGGGAAACCATTGGAAATATAATGAAATGTCTCATTAGAACACTCAGTGAGACGCTAGTCTACTGGATACTTACTAGTAATGACAAGGGTTCTGGGTAGTTAGAGAAAACAAGGGTCTCTAGGCTTTAAAAGGTGCTCACTATGTTGTTTTGTTAGTTCTATTACAATATTTTACCGTGCCAGTTAAACCAACTAACAGAAATCATTCAATAACAAAATACTTGAACCTTAACACTGCAAACCAAAAGCTGGTTAAGCCAGACCCAGAGATGCACATCTGTAACCCCAGAATTTAGGAGGTGAAGGCAGAAGGGCTGCTATGACTTGAACACCAGTCTAGGCTATAGAACACGATTTGGTTTCAAAATACCAAGAAACCAAAACTTACAAATAAAATTCTCATGTCTTTATAATGACTCTAGCATTCTTTCTTACTGCCATGGAAATACTAAAAGGTTTAAAGTTCCTTCCAGAGGTTTGACACAATGTTCAGTACTTAGCAGACCAAGAGTTAACCACGGCTCAAATTATTGTATTTGCCCTCCACTTTCTCTTTCCACCTTGTTATTTTTACTTTATTTATATTAGAAACAGAGTCATGTTTCCAGGCAGGGCTAGCCTGAAATTCCTTATACAGCTGAGGATATTGACATCCTGATTTTCCTGCCTCTGTCTGGAGATACTGGGATTACAGGCATGCATCACCATGCCAGGTTATGCAGTGCTGGGTACTGAACCTGGGCCTCACGATGACTGTGAGTCAAGGCATTTACAGACAAGCCTAAGGACCTGAGACTGATTCTCAGAACACACATGAAGGAAGGACTGAATCCACCCCCAAGCTGTTCTCTCATCACCACACCGCAACAGTGGCACAACATCCATTTTATATTAACTTTTTAAAGACTATTTGAAAATATGTGTATATATGTATCTATGTGTGGGTATGTGCACCAGAGTACAGGAGCCCATGGAGTCCAGAAAAGAGCATCATCCAGAGCCTCTGGAACACTAGTTACAAGTGGTTGTTCTGGGAACCAAACGCAGGTCTTCTACAAGAGGTGAATATGCTCTTAATCACTGAGCAATCTATCCAGCCCATATTATATTAATTTTAATAATGTAACTGAAATAGTACTTTTCCCTTAAGAGAAATGATTCAACAAAACCTCTTCCATGAAAGCAGTATTAAATATGTATGCTCTGTTACATAAAATCCTGCAGATGAGTAACAGGTAAATGTACTTGAGATGTTTACCTTTTCCATATACTGTGAGCAATTTGATTCTTGTAATAAATTTGAAGCTTCTTGCTTGTAATATTCTCCTGTTTCAGTCAGAAAGGGAGACACAAAGATTCCCTGATAAAACTGAAAATCAATTAAAATTGTATTAGTAAAACCTGGAACAATTTCAGAAATTAAAGGTCTTATCATGTTTGGAAGTAGACTTTTTACCTTTAAGGGAAATTTTTTCTTATACTGTTCAACATGAACAAAGGAGTTAATAACCCCATGGATTACTTTCTGGTTTGGGTCTTCACCACCACGATCACTGAAACAAAGTATAACACACAATATGCTTGAGAACACAGACATCTGCAGACTTATACCCAAGTATGCCAATACACAGATGCTAACTTAATGCCCTAATAAAAATTACAAGGTCAAAATGCATGCATGAAGCTTGAAACAGTTTTTCATTATTATCATCATTATAGCTAATATACACTAGAAATCATCTCAATAAATGTTATTTGATGGAAAACGATGTGCCGTGATTATCATTGAGGTCATTCTTCAGCTATGACCATCAGACACCTGGACTTCAGTCTGCATCACACTGGACTGAATGGCAGGAGAGAAAAGCCTCCTATCTAAGCCTCAGCAATCAGACAGGAAGAAGAACTAAAGAGCATTCAAATTGGGGGAAAAACAGTAAAAGTATTAGTTGCAGGTGGCGTTGGGAAAAACAGATACCACAAATTTTATACAAAAAACAACAACAACAACAAAAAAAACCCAACTATTAAGGTAACCGATTTCATTTGCAGAATACAGAATGAACATACAGAAATCAGTAGTGTTGCTATTGGCCAATAACAAACTACCTGAATCAGAAATCAAGAAGGCAATCCCATTTTGTATTTGCTATAAGAAATAACCAGGAAAACCTTAATGAAAAAACTAATGAAAGAAACTAAAGTGAACTCAAAATTAGTCAGAATTGACAGAAACAACCAATGCATGCTAATAAAGAACTATGTATCAGATCAGTCAATAAACTAAACATTAAGCACCAAGGAGATAAAAATCCACACTCACTTTTTGATTTCTCTGAGCAGCATCCGGATGAGGACGTTCTGAAGGGGTTCAACCATTAACTTCCTCCACATATCCAATGCTAGCTGCCAGGAAAAATAGAAATCAGCAAGGCTGAATTAGGTAGTTTTTCCCTTAACAGTCATTCTAGAATTTTTTAAACAGAAATACCCATCAACAGACATATTATTGATATTTTAAAGTACAAGTAAAAACTGAAGAAAAACTAACTTCTCATTAAAGTAGTAGTCATCACATCAGAATTAGATTAAAACATATTATTATTGTGTGTATGCATATGTGCTTGCATATTATTTTTATTATTAATATTGTTAGTGTGTGTTTGTGTATGACATGTGTGGGCCTGTGTGCCATGATGCACACAGGAGGTCAGCACAAGCTTCTGGAGTTGATTCTTTCCACCACTAGATAGGCTCCAGGGATCAAACCCAGCTTGTCAGCTTTACACGGTCAGGAGGCAAGTACTTTACCCACAGAGCCATCTTATCTCCTCTATGGCTTAACAGTCACAGAAAATCTTACTAAAATAGCTCTTCTATAAACTCCTTATTGATGGTTAAATTTATATATATATATATATATATATATATATATATATATATATATACATACACACATATACATACACACTATAAAAAGATGGGTTAACCCCTGTAACTCACACACAGGTGGAAGGGGAGAGCTAACATCACAAAGTTGTCCTCTGGCCTCTATCATGCCATGGGGCAGATACACATGGACATCATGCATATATACACACAATAATAAATTTAAACTAAAAAGCAAATTTATGTTTGCAGTCACTTAGAGCATTTCTTACCTCCCCTATTTCCATAAGTGGTTCATTCATATCTACTCCACCATAGCCGTATTGTAAATCGGCTTCCGTCAATTTATTTTTTTTAATATACTGGGTATTGAGATACCTGAAAAATCAAACACAAGTACACGGGATGTAAAGTCGAAATCAGTTAGAAAAATAACTTACAAATCTAGAATAGTAATCTTTTTCTTTTTTTTTTTTCCCCGAGACAGGGTTTCTCTGTGTAGCTTTGAGCCTTTCCTGGAACTCACTTGGTAGTCCAGGCTGGCCTCGAACTCACAGAGATTCACCTGGTTCTGCCTCCCAAGTGCTGGAATGAAAGGCGTGCACCACCACCGCCCGGCTTAGAATAGTAATCTTAGGGTCATAAGTTAGAGACTAATTCAGTGATAACTCCAAAAGAAATGATATACAAGTTAGAAATAAATGAAAACTAATTATTAGCCCTGGACTTTCTATAAGGGTTACTACACCACCAAGGGTCCACTTAGCAGTTTCAGGCAGCAGAAATGAAAACAAAAAGCATTTCTCCTGTATGACTACCAACCCTGGGTTTAAGCCTCAGTACTGGAGAAAGAAAATATGCTTTTGCCTTATTTCTCATTTCTCTTTTCTTTTCATTAATTTATTACAGATGGCCTGGGGGCGGGGAATATATATACCACAAAAAATGCTCATTTCTCTTTTCATTTATTTATTGGTTTTTCAAGGCAGGGCTTCCCTGTGTGGCCTTGGCTGTCCTAGAACTCCATCTGTAAACCAGGTTGGCCTCAAACTCAAGAGATCCACCTGCTCCTGCTTCCGGAGTGCTGGGATTAAAGGCTTGCACCACACCCGGCCCTTCAAATTGTATTTCTAACGATGCCTTTCAGCTAAGGAAAGGATTGAGAGACGGGAATAAAAGATATCAAAAGGCCAATCTACAGCCTGCAATGTCCTGTAGCTAGGATAATAACATCTGGCCTCTCTCATTCAGGTCTCACACCTTTCAGGTCTGCCTTGATCCCTTCTGAATTAACTTTACCTTCCCACATCAAATAAAATCATATTTTACTAGTTATACAGTACTTGCTACTACATATATAATCCTTTTCTCTTATTGATAAATCTTTTTTGTATTCTCAGTTCTCTGGAATATAAGGGTGGAGAAGGACCTTTTCTTACATCAATCAAAAAATAGCAGCAGGCAAATATCAAGTTCTGAAAAAAAAAATCCTCTTTAATGTATTTTAAAAGAATGGTAACAGTCTGAACAACAGGGCCATAAACAGTTAACACTAGAACACTAATTTCGACAGGCAGCCTAAGCCAGATTGTAAAAGCCATGAATGACAGATTAGCAATTAATTGCTAAAGTCAGTGTAAGCGTACACATCTACAGCCAGGTGGTGGTAGTGTACACCTTTAGTCTCAGCACTCAGGAAGCAGGGGCAGGCGGATCTCTGAGTTCGAGGCCAGTCTGGTGGTCTACAGAGTGAGTTCCAGGACAGCCAGGGCTGTTACACAGAGAAACCCTGTCTCTGTGTAACATAAATAAAAATGAATGAATGAATAAATGAATGAATGAATGAATGAATGAACAAATAAATAAATAAGAAAGTGCACATCTGTAACCACAGCACTTGGGAGATTGGTGATGGAGGATCACCAAGTTCAAGGCCAGGCAGATAGCAAGACCCTGTTTCAAAACAATAATAATTTTAAAGTGGATTATTTAAATAATGTTATATAATTTTTAAATAATTATGTACCTGGCGAGGCTAAAACAATAAAGAAGCTTGTGTCCAAAGAATTCCAGATCAGCCTGGTGAACACAGTGAGACAGATTCCCATCTTAAAACAAAAACTCTTTACATATATTACATTATACATTTTCTTACCAACTCTGACTTGAAACAAGGAATGGCCTAGACAACATGACCAGTCTACCACCCAAGAAAAACACTATTTATGTGTTTTCATCTAATTATTGTCAACTATTAATGGTGTCATTTATTTATGTTAATTATTTATGTGTCTGTGAAAAGATCTCATTACTACTCATAACCGTTAGTTATATGATACCAATAATACAGAGGGCAATTAACTGATTCTCATAGCCATCAGCTCTATGATTGTGTTATAGACAGTGGAAAGTTAATGATTTTAGACAGTAATCAAGGACACTTTTAATAAGATAACATAAACCAGGCATGGTGGCATACACCTACCATCCTAGTGCTTGGGAGGTAATCAACTACAAACTGAGTTCAAGGTCAACCTGGGCTCATAAGACCTTGTCTCAAAAATTAAAAAAAAAAATGCATGTAGAAAGACTACAATATAGTAAAATGAATGAGCTCTGAAGTCTGACTGATAAGGGGTTTAATTAAATTCTGCCTCAATTACCAACTGGCTGATCTCAAAGTTACTACCAACCTCATACGGTTTTCCATGTGCAGGTGCTCATAACTAGCACTAGCATAATAGTATTAATTTAAATAGTACTAAATTATCAATCCATCTTGATGAATAAGACAACAAAGCAAACTACACCCAAGGAAATAAGGAGAAAAGCAGCTCTTCACCAAACCACTACACTAAAAGCCCATGCATATACATGCACAACGTACTCAACTCTTCAAAATCCAACAATACTACAATTCAGCTAGGGATTACCTTAATAAAGTCTCATGATGTCTAATGTACAGGACAAAGTGTTTCATAGAAGTTAACACCACAATAAACCTGCACTTCAGCCAGGCGGTGGTGGCACACACCTTTAATACCAGCACTCTGGAGGCGGATCTCTGTGAGTTCAAGGCCAGCCTGGTCTACAAAGTGAGTTCCAGGAAAGGCGCAAAACTACAGAGAAATTCTGTCTCGAAAAACCTAAAAAAAAAAAAAAAAAAACTACCAAAAAAAACAAACAAACAAAAACCCTGTACTTCATAGTAACTGATTTTTTAAATTATGTTTTTGCTCTTCTAAAAGCCACTGTGACATTGGGAAGCCCAGTTTCTACACTGGCAGCTTAGGTTAACTAGACTATACTTCTGTTGACCCAGCAAGACAAAGGAGTACCAACAAGTCAGGAGAACCGAGAGCTGTTTTGGCAATATGGTAGGTACTGCCAGAGCAGGGGAGATTATGCCTGGAGAGCTACCTCAAGGGTTCAGCTTCTCCACAGTGGATACTGAAACTTGGGCCCATCTGTGGCCCACACCACAAAACACAGGACAAAATTATCACTGCATCCATCTCAGGCCATGATCATTCTAAGAGTGGACTCTCTAGATCCAAGAATAAGAGAAAAATGTACTTCAAGTCAGTTTGGTATTTATTTACTATCTCTCAATAAATGTAGTTGTTTTAGAATGGTAATGTATACCCTGTGCCATTATATGTTGGAAGTATAGGATCTGTTTTTTTTAATTTTGATTTTATAGAGGATTACAATTAAGGAATTGCATGAATCTCAGTTGAGACTTTGAACATGGGACTTTTAAACGTGGGACTTTTAAACATTGTTGAGACCGTGATAGACAATGGGGACTTTTGAGGTTGGCCTAAATACATTTTGCATTATGGTATTACAAGCTTATGGGGGCCAGAGAGTGGAATACGGTAGTTTGAATGTAATTTGCCCCCATAATCTCATAGGGAGTGGCATTATTAGGAGGTGTGGCATTGTTGAAATAGGTGTGGTCTTGTTGGAGGAAGTGTGTGTCACTGTGGAGGTGGGCTTTGAGGTCTCATATATGTTCAAGATACTGCCTAGTGTCTCAGACCACTTCCTGTTGCCTGCAAGATGTACAATTCTCAGCTACTTCTCCAGCACCATGTCTGCCCACACTCCACCACACTCCCAGTTGCCATGCTCCCTGCCATGATGATAATGGACTAAACCTCTAATACTGTAAGCCACCACCTCAATTAAATGTTTTCCTTCATAAGAGATGCTATTGTCATGGTGTCTTTTCATGGCAATAGAAACCCTAACTAAGACAATAAACAAATGTCTGTTTTACTCAGCAATAGTTATGGACAGACATATTCAAATGTGGACTACTTACACAAGGATCCCTAAGATTATAGTGCTTAGTTATGGCACAGCTACATTAGCTTATGAATGTACAAACTTTGATGTAGAAACAATCAATGACATTCCTTGGAATTTAAGTTCTGTCATTATGCAATAGACAATTGTTCTTATTTCTACTGTCTAAGAGACTGAATCAAATAGGAGCAGCACAGAGAACCATGGAAATACAAGACCTAAGCTGGAGATGATGCAGAAAAGAGGAAAATTTAGAAAGGGGAATATAAGAAGAACGTGTCAGAATTAGTCATCCAGAGAAGGAGTGCGGCCAGATGGAGCAGTGGGGAAAGACAGGAAGAAAGGAGCAGGGAGCAGGGAGCACGACTATGGCAAAATCAACATGCCCAGAGGACCTTGAAGAAAACTGCCAAGTACTTACCAGTGGCCTCAAAGCCTGAAATGCACCTTAGTCTTACAGAAATGTATGCAGGACTGTGGCTTAGGTTTACCCCACTAAGCTTCATCCAACCTGAGCTTTTACACCCATCTCTGTTGGAATTTAACACATATTCCAGACAGTCTGAAGAAACAGAGCTACAACGTTTATTTCTTTTCTTTTCCACAGGGTTAACTGCCTACATATCTGCCTGTCTCAGATACACACCTTGCTCTGACTGTGGACCTATTAACAAAGTCCCTATCAGTAATCCATATTCCAATGAGAAATAATATAAATTACTCTTTCATAATTAAACCCATTAGTATAATTTACACTAATTAAAAATAAATTACTGGGGTAGAGAGACAGCCCAGTGGTTAAGAGCACTGGCTGCTCTTCCAGTCCTAATACCTACAACCAAACAGATCTGATGCCCTTCTGGCTCCAGGACACCAGGCATGCAAATGCTGCAGAGATACACAGGGAAACCCACACACACATAAAACAGGACTGAATTAGGAACGCAGGCAGCACCGCTAAGTGGCCAAGATTCTGCAGCACTCACCTATATAAGCAGTCCATGTAGTCGGCACCCTTGCTGTACTCTTCCCAGTACCTATGATACATAACAAGCACTTGTTCTTCGGACTCCAGAACTCTCTAGACAGAAAAAACAGTTTTGCTTTCAAAGTACTAATCATTTTTGTTACAATGAAATTATAAAATATGGAATCAAGCTCCTAAAGATAACATAAATCAAGCATTATCACCCGTATTTATAAATTATATTTTGACTACATTTAGTACAAATGAAACTGGGGGGAAAAATGGGAGCCTTAGAATAGAAAGTGACTATCCAAAGATTTCTCCAAAATAAAAAGACAAATGATCATAGCTAGATTTTCTCTCTAAGATAGAGAAAATGGGCTGAGATTGTAGCTCAGTGGTAGCATGCCCACCTAGCATGAGCAAAGCCCTGTGTTCAATTTGTAGCACCACAAAAATAAAACAGAAAACAATTCTATTAGACTCATGAATTTCTGCATAAAAGTTACTTTAGAAACTGTTTTTGAGACAGGACCTCTTGCAGTTTAGATTGGCCTGTAACTGTAATAACGTTCCCCTAAGCCGGGGTTACAGGTGTGCAATGGCACAACCAGTGTGTACCCTGCTGGGGGTCAAAGCTGGTTTCCTGTTAGATAAGCAGTCCACCAACTGAGTAAGCCAGTCTTCAACGCCTCTTTAAGATCACGTGACTTAGGAGGCTTGGCTGATTCAGAACACTCTTGGTAGCCTAGGATTACCTTGTACTCACAACAACCTTTCTAGCTCAGCCTCCCCAGTGATGGGATTACAGGCTTGAGCCATAAACAGCTTCGATCCTAATTCTCAAAAGACTTGTGCTGGGCATGGTGACATGCATCTATAATCCAGAGCTCTGTGATTTCCAGGCTAACCAAGGCTATGGAGTGAGACCCTGTCTCTCAAAAGAAACAAAGCAAACAAAGAAGCAAACAAAAGCCCCACATATTCTCAACAGTCCATTTCTATCGTCCCAGTACTTGGGAGACAAGGCTGGTCAGGAAGGAGTTCAAGACCAAACAGCTTGGACTACTCGGCAGTTTGAGGCCATCTTGGATAACATGATACCTCGTCTCAAAACAAAACAAGGGTTGGGGATTTAGCTCAGTAGTAGAGCGTTTGCCTAGCAAGCGCAAGGCCCTGGGTTCAGTCCTCAGCTCCAGAAAATAAAAACAAACAAAAAACAACCAGAGTCTAACTTAATAAATTTCAACATTAATAAATATCTTACATGGTTATGAACTATGTATAACCAAGTTCACTAGCTTATGATAGTCAAACTTTGGTCCAATATAACATATTACACACTGAAACAATCTTAAAGTACTTGCTCTCAAAAGTACTGCCATGAGCTGACAGATGCACACTCAAACAACAAACAGTACATGCAATAGACAAACATGCATTAAATGCAGTATATTTCCTCCACGTGTCTTAAGGGAAATATTAATTGTTCAGCTCTCTCGGTCAACAGGGTATCTATTCCTTGTCAAGACAGAAGCTGTATTGTTTGACCATTAAGTGAGATCTGATGGCTGCCCCCAACTACTAATTAAGGAAAAGGACAAGATTCCAGCTTAGGCTGTAAATTTCTCTCCTCCAGTTCCAATGGTCTGCAGAGACCATGTAGGGGATACAGAAGTTCATTTCAATGAGATTATGTAGCAGGTATAAACCCCAAGGACCCAAACGGATTTCCACTGTGAACCAAATAACACTGTTTAATTTCTAGAGCTTAAATACAACTAGGAAGACACTGTTTAAGAAATTTAGCCGGGCGGTGGTGGCGCTCGCCTTTAATCCCAGCACTCGGGAGGCAGAGCCAGGCGGATCTCTGTGAGTTCAAGGCCAGCATGGGCTACAAAGTGAGTTCCAGGATAGGCTCCAAAACTACACAGAGAAACCCTGTCTGGGGAAAAAAAAAAAAAAAAAAAAAAAAAAAGGAAATTTAGGTCAGCTGGGCAGTGGTGGGGCACACCTTTAATCCCAGCACTCAAGAGTCAGAGGCAGGCTATAAGTTCAAAGCCAGCTTGGTCTACAGAGTGAATTTGAGGACTACACAGAGAAATCTCATTTTGAAAAATCAAAAAAAAAAAAGAAAAGAAAAAGAAAGAAAAAGAAATTTAGGTCTGGCTAATTTCATGTGTGTTCTTTTAAATTTGCATCTTTTTTAATAATAAAGTTTAAAATTAAAAAAAAAAAATCCAAAGCCCCGAATTTGATGCCTATTTTCCTCTGGAAGTCAGTGAGCTAGTTAAATAACTGCAGCTGTAAGCAGATGCATATCCCAACTATACTATCCCTTACCTTGTGCAAATGCCGAACGTGATTTTCCAAAAAAACCTTTGTTTCCGCATAAAGTCTTTCTCCAAGTGGTTCAGGATAGGCCACACATAAAGCATAGATATCTCTAGATAGCTTATTAAGGTTCTCATAGTCAAAACATGAGACTTAGGTTTGGCATCAAAAAAGGAAACATCAAGCTGGGGGTTGTGGTAACCTGTAACCTTGAACTTCTTTCTGAATCTACCTCACTAGTGCTGGGAATATAGGTTGTATACCATCAAGACCAAAGATGCAAAAAGAAACTGAAAATATAGGGCTATTTAGGGTGGAATCATGCTTTTATACTTTAAATACAAAGAACAGGAAAACACAGGAACATAGAATGGGCTAGAGAGACATTTGCTGCTGTCAGAGGACCAGAGCTCAGTTCCTAGCACCCACATAATAGCTCACAACTGTCTATTAACTCCAGCTCCAGACAGGCTTTTCTGGGCATGTCACATGTTATGTGCAACAAATACACAGGCAAAGTAATATCACCTATACACTCATATTACCTGTGGTATAATAGCCTTATAAACTAAATGACCTGATTAAGAGAACACAGTAGGGGAACAGAAGAGACGGCTCAGCTGTTCCGAGAATGTACTGCTCCAGCAGAGACTCAAAGTGCAGCTCCAGCACTCACTCTGGGCAGCTAGCTCATAACTGCTTTAAACTCCAGGGATTCAATGCTTTGGCCTCAGAAAGCAACCACACATTGTGTGCAAAATCCACACACATATACATAATAATAATGTTGGAACTATTTACCATCAACAACTTCAAACTTTATCCAATATTATAAAGAAAGCAGTGATGTGAATACCTATCAGCTAAGAATTTAAACTTTCTCTATAGAAAATTGAAAATGGTTTGGTAAAGGGGACAGGAATCAGGGTACTGATTGGGAAAGCACTTCAAAACATGCTGAGCCTCTGAAAATAGCTTGCAGTCCCTCTAATTTTCAACTCTAAATACTTTTATTTATTTAAATCAGGGTCTTACTATGTAGCCCTGGCTGGCCTAGAGCTTGATTTGTGACCAGGCAGGCCTGCATTTGCTTCTAGAGAACAGGACGAAAGGTGTGAGGCACAATGTCCAGACCCCCGCCCCCACAAAAAAATTTAAATCAAAGTAGACAACTTGAAAAATGAAAACTGAGAATTGACTCCTGGTCTCCATAGGATGCACACACCTGTACATACACATGTATTTTATATATATATGAGCACACATGAAAATATGATAAAATGAAGTAATAGTTACTTAAGGAGTAATTTTCCAGGGAAGTATTCTATTTCAAAACTACTTATAAGCCAATCAGCTAGTCTGTAAAATACAGAACAATTTCTATTTTGTCCTTTAGATTCCTGGCCCCAAATAATTTAAAATGTTTCACAGAAAATTATTTAAGAGATGAATTCAGCAGAATCCATATAATAATGTAGATATACTGAGCTGCAAAAGAAACTGGATATTAAAATTTTTGCCATTAAGTCTATGCTCTAATTATCACTGTGACCCTGGCAAGTTACTCTGCCTCTGAGATCAGATTCCTTGTGTTGCATAAAGACAGTAATTAGGGTTGGAGAGATGGCTCAGTGGACCTGAATTTAATTCCCAGGACCCACATAGTAGCTCATAACCATCCGTAACTCCTGTTCCAAGTGATCTGATGCTCTCTTCTGGCCTATGTTAAAGATTTTATGTTTATTGTCTATAGTTTGGTTTGTTTGCTACATCCCCAAAGACCAGACTAGTGCCAGACACACACACTCAGGATTTGTGCTCGGGATTTGTTGAATGGAAGGTTGCCACAAAATTAACATAAATATATCCTAAAACAGTTAGGCTTAAGACTCTAAACCTGTTTTCATTTAACAAGCTTTGATTTAGTGTTTCTTGTGGCTTCTATTATAGGATACGAGAAGCGGTCGTTCCACGTTGCTCTCTCAACATATTCCAACATAACAACAGCTTTGATTGTAGTTAGGAGTTTGTTCCATGTCTCATCAAAATCCACTACTCTTGGTTTTAAAGACATTGTGCAAGTTTAGTGTTGAAACCTGTTAAATAAAAACAACAATCGTGTTAGCATGAATCCTACAACAGTGGTTATGTTTTTAAAATAGCACTTAATTTGGGCTTGGGAGGTGGTTCAGAGGTTAAGATCACATACTACTCTTGGAAAGACTAGAGCTGGATTCCCAGCACCCATGACAGCTCACACTGCCTGCTACTCCAGTTCCAGGGGGACCCCATGCCTCTGGCATCCACAGGCACCTGCACATACTCACATACACATAATGAAAAATAATAAAAATATTTAAAGTACCACATAATTGAATCGCATGATATGTAAAAGGAGTAGGAATATAAATGAACTCAGGAACACAATCAACATTAGCTACCACTGTTTCATAACCAAATTGTTTATGAACAGTAAACAGTGGTTTAGCTTCATTTAGTATGTTGCAGAAAAAAATTAGGTAAACAAGACCAACTCTCAGCATAAAAAATATGCAAAGACATTGACCACAAATCCTGTTGTCTGTATCCTTCATCTGGAGAAAGATTTATATACAGGGAATATAAAATATCAAAAAGTGAAAGGGTTTATTTTCCTAGAACACACATTTTAGAAAAAGATTATCTACACTTATATAAACAAGCAGGAGCAGCTGGAGAGAAGGCTCAGCAGTTAAGAGCTCTGCCTCCTCTTGCATAGAACCCTGGTTTCCAGTACCCACATGGCTGTTCACAACCATATGTAACTCCAATTCAAAGGGATGTGACACCTTCTCGTATCCATGGGCAGCAAGCATACATATATCCAAGCAAACATATAATAAAAAATTTAAAGATTAAAAAAATAAGCATGGAAGAGTTTTAGAGTAGAATGCAAAGTTCACATGAACTTTTACGATTTTGAAATGTCAAGTTTGCTCAACAGAAAGTTTGAACCTCCTCAGGTTCTCAGGTTTTGTATAGCAAAACTATTGGAAGAAGTATGGCTTCAGCATATGGGATCAAGTGGGGCTAGAAGATGCTCTATGTCTGGCAGACAGACTGCATTTATGAGTTACTTGCAATGTTACAGAAAATTGGCAGAAGCTAAATCTTAAACAGAGAAGCAAAAAAAAAAAAAAAAAAAAAAAAGCCAGTATAGTATACAACACACCAGTAATCCCAGGACCCAGGAATCAATGCTCACAGGTTGTTCTGACCTCCACATGTGTGCCCTTACACACACACACACACACACACACACACAAACACACACACACCCCTTGAGAAAGCGAGCTGAGCACAAGCATCCCTAGTTCTCAGCTTGACTGGATACAATGTGACAGCTTGCCTTAAGGCCCTGCCACCACCACGACTTCCCAACCATGATGGACTGTGTCATGGAACTGTGAGCCAAATAAACACTTGCTCCCTTACAGTACTTTTGTGAGGGCATTTTATTATAGCAACAAGAACAGTAACTAAGACAACATCCTAGCCAACTACAATGCTCCCAGTATTTTCTGAACCCCTCTATTCTAGTGTCATGTACAAATGCTGTAGCCTCCAGCTCTCAGCAGAAACACTTGGTGAATCTGTACAGCACTTGTAGAAGTCCCACACTAGCCTAACTCTGCGCTCCTCTTCTGTTTTTCTGAAGCAGGATCTCATTCTGTAGCCCAAGCTAGACTCAAGCTCACATTGCCTCAGTCCGTTTGTTGGGATTACAAACAAACTACCACATTCCTTTAATCCTACCAATAAACCAAGTAGATCATATTGCTCTTGCCACTTGCTAGATAAGAAAGAGTCATAGGAAGATTGAGAAACATCAGGTGGCATCAGGAGCCAATACCTAGATCAGGTACTTTCTTTCAGCTCTTTCCCCTTTTTAGAGAATACCTACCTTCCCAACTCACCATTCTAGGTTCTGTGGATGTATTGTAAAAACTCAAGCTCTGAGCTGGGGCCAACAAAATGCTTGCCTACCATGATTAAGGTATCAAAATGATGATGATGATGACGAAAATAGATGAGTCCAAAATTTTAACATTAGAATTTCAGATCTTGGGGGATGGAGAGAGTTAGTAGTTTGGAATGCACACTGTTTTTGAAGAGGACTCAAGTTCAGCTCTCCTCACCCATGTTCAGCTTACAACCACCTATCTAGTTCTGGGGGATTCAAGGCACTCTTCTAGACCCTGTGAGCAGCAGCACTCAGATGTTCACACTCCTAAACTCATAATCGTTATGTTCTTCTTTTTGAAAAGAATCTCAGCTCTTGCTCTAATCAAAGATAAAATAACCTCAGCAAAAAGCTGACCAACTCACTCCTGGACCTGGTCATTGCCTGACACGTCCCACTATAGGAAGCACAGTTCAGACTCGTTTACAACCTGATACTCCAAGCTTCCGTGAAAAGGCCCTAGATAAGGCACTTTACAGCTTCCTCTGGCAGGAGCTCTCTCTTGACACAGTAATCCAGTCACCACTTCTTAGAGGTCATTTGACTGACTCACTAACCTAGCTCATAAACCCTGCCTTTATCCTTCCCGATTACCTAAAATGCTCTTTTTTTAACACTCTCCTCCACACACATTCACCTGACTCCTATGAAATACAGCCTGGATCCATGTCCAACTGCTTTCAAGAAACTCTGGGTCCATACTCACATTCCAGTGTCCTACTTTCTTCTTATCACCTTTCTTTTAACCTCCTGTTTAAGCCATATGAAAATGCTTTTAATAAAATTTCCACCATAAAAACAATAAAACTTTCTTGGTAAGGGAGATATATGCCAGGCATGTAAATTATTCTTAATATGTAGTTTTAACGGCTGCAGTCTGCATTTATGTCTACAGAATCAGACTGATGCCTCCCTGCTGAGACTAAGCTGAGAATGGGTAGACATGATACAGTGATAATCCATGCTTGGAGGGGAAACAGTTCTAGAAGCAAAGGGAAAAGAACCACCAGCGGTTTTCACCAACCTAGTGAAACACCAAACATTAAACCAATACAGAACGTGCAAAAATAATCTGTTAGACTGTTTATCCTCTAAACACCTCAAAGAAAACCTTCTTAAACTGCTTCATTTTCTCCAAATCCTTTAAATAACTTACTCATGGAAAACTTACACAAGGATGGGGAGACAGGGCAAAGAAACAGACCAGAATCAGAACCACAAAACTATTTCCCACCTCCTAGACTACTGAAAAGCTCATATAAATATGGCTTGTGTACTTTCCTAGTGTGTAAAAGGCCGTGGGTTCAACCTCCAAAGATATACCATCATGTATCACTTAACAGGAATATACTCCAAAATATTTTAGACTATTCCATAGTGTGAATATCATAAGGCATACTCACACAAACTAAGAAGGCTATGATGTCACGGGGCAATATAATCTCCACGGGACCACCATTGCATATCAATCCATCACTGGCTGAAACACAGTTTAAGTACATGTCTGTGTGAATTCTCCATTCTTGTTCTTTAATAGGGACCACAATACACTTCTCATTTTCAATCAGATTGTGTCCCACTGAATGCCTGCAAAAATTCAATTTTTAGCTTTCTTCTGAATTTCATTCTCCATTTGATGAAGTGATTTGTTTGTTTGTTTTAACACATATAACCCAAGGCCACATGAGCACCAGGGGCCCTAAAAAACCCTCCAGAACCAGACGTGGTGGCACATGCCTGTATGTAATCCCAGTATTTGAGGCTGAGACAATATAGACAGTTTAGGCTATACAATGAGTTTCAAGCCAGCTTTAGTTACAGTGTGAGATCCATCTTAAAAAATAAAATCATGGGCTCCAAATATTTCCAAACTATTAAGTTTGGTGTGATAGCATATGCCTGGGACATATCTATAACCACAGCACTGAGGAAGGTGAAAAGGAGCATTGTGAGTTCTAAGCCAGCCTTGGTCACATAGCATGGCCCTCAAAAAAAAAAAAAGAAAGAAGCTACAAAGATATTTAATTGCTAAAAAAAAGTGTCAACCCTAATCATAACATGAAAATTTTATATTACATTTGATAACACTTCTATACCAAATTTCCATTTACAGCACTATTTAAATATACATGATGAATTAACAATATACAAAAGTAGATCACTGGGGCTGGAGAGATGGCTCAGTGGTTAAGAGCACTGACTGTTCTTCCAGAGGTCCTGAGTTCAACTCCCAGCAACTACATGGTGGCTCTCAACCATCTCTGGCACTTATAATAAATAGCTAAATTAAAAAAAAAAAAAAGGCCGGGCGGTGGTGGCGCACGCCTTTAATCCCAGCACTCGGGAGGCAGAGGCAGGCGGATCTCTGTGAGTTTGAGGCCAGCCTGGTCTCCAAAGCGAGTTCCAGGAAAAGCGCAAAGCTACACAGAGAAACCCTGTCTTGAAAAAAAAAAAAAAAAGTATAAATTAGGGGTTGAGGATTTAGCTCAGCGGTAGAGCACTTGCCTAGCAAGCGCAAGGCCCTGGGTTCGGTCCTCAGCTCTGAAAAATAAAATACAAAAAAAAAAAAAAAAAAGTAGATCACAGCCAGGTGTTGGTGGCGCACGCCTTTAATGCCAGCACTTAGGAGGTAGAGGTAGGTGGATCTCTGAGTTCAAGGCCAGCCTGGTCTACGAGTGAGTTCCAGAATAGCCATAGCTACACAGAGAAACTGTCTTGAAAAAACAAAAAATGCTAAAAACCACTGAATTAGTAAAGTATAATTCAATAAAGCTTTCATACATTAAGTGGATTATGCAAGTCTTACCAACCATGTTTGCACCATTTACTAGGGTTAGGTGGGGAAAGAGTCCATTAGAACATCACATAGCAGATAGTTCTGAAAGGTGTCTCCCTTGTCCTCCCATGTTCTAGTTAGTGGTTGAGAACACTTGCTCTCACGGTTTCAGTTCTCAGAACCCACACAGCAATTTACAACAGCCATTGCTCCAGTTTCAGGGAATCTACCACCCTCTTCTGGCCTCTGTGGGTACCAGGAATACACACAGTACACATGCATACATGCAGGCAAAATACTCATGCATATAACATATAAATAAATCTTTAAAAACAAAACTTCCTGCTAGAGCTCCTAGTATGCCTGTAATTCCAGCATCAGAGGCTAATAAGGATGGTAAGTTTGACTGTAGCCTGGGCTACAAAATGAGGCTCTCCCTCACAAAAAATCAAAGGAGGAAGGTGCTCCTTACAGAAATGGTTTATCATTTGCTGCTCTTCCAGGACCTGAGTTCAGTTCCCAGTGCCCAGGCCAGGCAGCTCACAACCACCTAAAATTTCAGCTCCAGGGCATCTGATGCCCCCACAGGAACCTACACAAACATACACATACCACCCCCAACACACACATCTACACATAACTAAAAGTGATAAAAATATAGAATGGAAACAGACAAGCTCAGCAGTTACTGGCTGCTCTTTAATAGCTGTGAGTTCAATTCCCAGAACCCACTTAGGGCTACAACCACCTGTAAATTGAGTTCCAGGGGATCCAACACCTTCTGGCCTCTGCATGCACATAGTACACAGACTTATTGAGGCAAAACATTCATACACATAAAATAAATCTTTTTTAAAATTAAAAATAATAGTGCTAGGTGTAGTGGCACACTCCTTTAAGCTCAACACCTGAGAGATGGAGGCAGGCAGATCTCCATGAGTTCCATGACAGCCAGAGCTACATAGTAAGCCCGTCTTGGAAAACAAACAAACAAAACAAAAACCAGAAAATAAATACTAATAATAATATTAATGACTCCTGAAACTTTTCAATAAAAATAATAAAGAATAAAAGCAATCTAACATAGCAAGTTATAAAAAGAAATCTGACGAGCTAAGGATGTAGTTCTGTAGTAGAGTACTTCTCTACCAAGCCCGAGGTCCTTGGTGCCATCCTCAGTCATGCACACGCACGCGTGCGTGCACACACACACTTTCCTACCAGAGGGACACTGAGCAGTTTAACCATTACAGAACCATTAATAATAGTAACAACCTTATCAACTATATTTCAGAAACTGTTACTATGTGTGTGTGTATATGTATATATGTATGTATATGTGTATATATATATACATACACACATATGTATATATACACACATATATAATATTTCTTAATTATATATATTACCTCTTAATTCCTCATATAAGTGTTATGTGGATACTATTATTCTTTCCATTTTAAAGGATAAAAATTCTGGCTGGCCAGTCTGTCTGCAATCTCGGCACTTGGAAAGAATTTTAGACCATCCTTAGTTACAGTGTGAGTTTGAAGACAGCCATGAGACCATGTCGTCAAACACCATCAGAAATAATTATTCTGAGCCCCACACTCTCCATACTCAAGAGTTCTTTCTCACTTTTCCTTAAAAAAAAGAAAAGAAAGAAAGAAAGAACCTACATGTGCTATGCAAAAAAAAAAAAAAAAAGTAATACTAATAAGTAAAAATAACAGACAGGCTTGGCTGGGCATTTATTCTCAGTGGTAAAGCACTGGTCTGGCATAGGCAAGGCCTGTTGAACTCAATCCAAGACTGTTTAATAAATAGAGACTAGCATTTACACAGAATCAGCAGACAGAATTTGGACCTACATCTAACTGGCTTCCACAAAGCCCTCACTTGTTCCCAGCCCTCTCCACTTATGGAACTGTAAATGGTGGTGCACACCTGAAATCTTAGCTCTTGGGAGCAGAGGGAGGAGGACTGCCAGGAGTTCGAGGTCAGACTGGTCACACAGTGAATTCCAGACAGGGCTCTAGAGTAAAACCCATCTTTTCACTCAGAACGAGACAGAGGATCCCTCTCTCTGTAGGCCAACAGGAAGAATCTCAGTCTGGCCAAGAAAGGGTCTATGAAATGTCAAAGGAAGAAAAACAGATCTCGGGCTGGTGAGATGGGTCAGGGATAAGGTTGCTTTCTCCAAGCCCAACAACCTGAGTTCAATGCCTAGATTGCCACACGGTGGAAAGAAGTGACTCAAGTTGTCCTCTCACTTCTACAAAGGTAGTCTGACACTTACTTATGCACACACATGCAATGCACATAAATAATTGCAATTGTTAAAAAAAAAAAAAGAAAAGAAAAGGAGGGGTTGGGGATTTAGCTCAGTGGTAGAGGCAAGCAAGGTCCTGGGTTCGGTTCTCAGCTGGGCTTGGGGGTGGAGAAAAGGAAAAGTATTAGTCTCAGAAATGAGCTAAGTGGGGACTGTATAAGTATACTCTCAACAGGCTGCCAGTCCCACTGCTGGCTGCTCCCACATTTTCTCCACTTCACAGCATAAAAATAATACAAAAGCAGTATTTACAAGTACACACCAAATGTATTGTTCAAAGAAGAGGTGGTGTTTTCTGCAACCTTATTTTCTATCCACACATTCATCTTTAAAAAGACAAACACTGTACGGGCATGGTGGAACATGTCTTTATCCAAAGACTCAGTGGGAAGAGGCAGGCAGATCTCTGAGTTTGATGCGAGTCTGGTCTGCGTAGTGAGTTTCAGGACAGTCAGGGTTACACAGGGAAACCCTGTCTCAAAAAAACAAGCATCAATCTCAGCAGTGGTAATTGCCCTAAAACTTTAAGACTCATAATATTCTAATATCCCAATTAAAAGCTAAATATAAGGTAGTGACATCAGATGTATCTAATGCTTATATTCTTTCTTTGAGTTAAGGTCTTATGTAGCTCAGGCCCTTGAACTTAGATCTGGTCTCCCCAGTGCTGGGATTACAGACAGGCTTGCTCAGCAGTGTTAGGGATCCAACCCAGGTCTTCATGAACACTAGGCAAATATGCTACCATCCACATCTCCAGCCTGGTTGTTTCAAACTCTTAGATACAGTAACACAAGACTTATGCTAACTTCTGCAATTTAACATAATATATTACTAAGATTTAAATCTATGAAGATCACTCCGACCAGGTCATTTGACTAATAAAAATGAATTCAAGCCCAGGTGTGGTGGCACACATCCTTTAATCCTAGAACTAGGCAGGCTGAGGTAGGTAGATCCTTAAGAGTTCCAGGCCAGCCGGGCGGTGGTGGCGCACGCCTTTAATCCCAGCACTCGGGAGGCAGAGGCAGGCGGATCTCTGTGAGTTCGAGGCCAGCCTGGTCTACATCGCGAGATCCAGGAAAGGCGCAAAGCTACACAGAGAAACCCTGTCTCGAAAAACCAAAAAAAAAAAAAAAAAGAGTTCCAGGCCATCAGGTCTACATGGTGAGAGCTTGCCTGGAAAAAAAAAAGAAAGAAAGAAAAGAAAAAGAAAGGAAGGAAGGAAGGAGGGAAGGGGAAAAAAAAACTCAAAAAACAATCAGCCAGCCAGGCAGTAGTGGCACAAGCCTTTAATCCCAGCACTCGGGAGGCAGAGGCAGGTGGATCTCTGAGAGTTTCAGGCCAGCCTGGGCTAAGAGAGTGAGTTCCAGGACAGGCTCCAAACAGAGAGCTCTTACACAGAGAGACTGTCTCAAAAAACCAAACCAAAACAAAACAAAACAAAAAAACCAATCAGCCATACACACCTCAAACAGCAGTCACCTGCTATCACCTAATTCCCTTTCTTTTTCTGACACTGGTGATTGAACAGGCCTAGTAGGTGTACCACTGAATCAATTCCCAACTTCCAACATTCCAAATTTCTGCTTTTATCTTTCCTTGCTTTTGTCCAGTACTAGGGATTGAACCCAGGGCCTTAGGCATGCTAAACAACCACTTTAGCAATGACCTATATCCTGGCCCATTTTTACTATTTATTTAATAGGATTTTTCAAGACAGGGTTTCTCTGTGTAGCCCTGGCTGTCCTGGAACTTGCTCTATAGACCAGGCTGGCCTCAAATTTACAGAGATCCACCTGCCTCTGCCTCCAGAGTGCTGGGATTAAAGGCTCTTGCCAACATCACCTGGATTTTTATTTTAAACAGAGTCTGTTAAATTCAAACTGACCTTGAACTTATTCTGTACCCTGGCAGGTCCTGAACCTGTCCTCCTACTTCACTCCCAGAGGCTGGAAGGAATCAAAGGCCTGAGCCCCACCCCCACCCCCAGGCCTGGCATTTTCCTCATTTTTACCTTACCAGTTTTAAGTCTTTCTGATACTAAGCTCCAGGGGCTGATCCTGTGGTGGACTTACTGTATAGCAGGTAGTTAGTGTATGTAAAGAAAATGTTCCTTTTAATCGATACCAAACATTTTCTGGCACATCTAAAGAAATAGCAGACAAGGTAGAAAAGTACAAGTTTCTTGTAAATAAAGCAATGTTCTCCAAAGAACACACATCTGAGCCAGCAACACGACTACACTAGTAATCCCTGTGCTTCTGGAAAGGGGCTGATGCAGGAAACACCCAAGAAGAAAGTCCAGCCCGAGCTACAAAGCACATGTGGCCGGCCTGGGTTAACTAAGCACACGCCTCCTCCCAGAATTCCCATCTCTAAGTCAAACACTCAACAGCAGCAAAGAGCAGGTCAGAAAACGGTGCCATTGCCTGCAGTTTTCTCCATTTCCTCCTAGGCTTCCTTTGGGTATCCTTAACCTAGTTGTAACTTTTAAAGTACTATTTAATTCTCCGAAAAATACAAAGTGTCAGAGTAAGGTGTGCTACCATTTTTGCAAAGAATATATACACACCTTCTTAAAGACACAAAAATATATCTTTGGAAACATGTAAGAAAGTTAAAGTTGTTTGCTCCAGGGGAAACAGAGGGAGACAAGAGGGTTTCAATTCTGTGCCCTACTGAACCTTTCCAATTTTGAATCTAAGTATTATTTTTATTAAATGGACCACCAGTTAAAGACTAATGAAACTCTCTACCCATCTTTCTCCACTTTTCATGAAGGCAGAGCTCTTTCTTCTTTTTCACCATCCCAGTTGCCAGGTCCACAGCTTGTGCTCGAAAAACATCCTCAAATCAATGAACCAAATGTATGACTCCTTAACTTCCGCGCTGAATTTCATACTTGTATAACACTTGAACTGAGTCAACTCAAGACATCCAATCCAACTTTATCCTATATAAACTCAAGTTTCCTCACCTTTTCCCCATCCCTGTACATGGTACCATCATCCTCCAGTTGAGCTCTAAAACCCAAGAGACCCTTTCTCCACCAACTTCACTCTTGTCCAAGCTATAATAACATGTTCAACAAGTATCTTCAACATAGCTGGAAACCTTGTTACTTGTCTTTTAATGTTCCAAGGCCACAACTCTGACCCCGGGTGGGGGTGTCTTCTGATATCTACTCTCCAATCTATAGATGTAAATCAGATGATTATTCCTTGGCTTTCAAATTCCAAAACCTACAATGTTTTAAAAACCAAACCCTGGCCCCTGGCTTCGGCTCAACCTCTCTTACAGGGTCTACCTTCCTCGAGCTGCTTCCAGTGGGCTGGACTCTAGTTCCACTCTACCATGGGGCTTTTCCATTTGTATTTCTTCCAGAAAGTTTCTTCAGAACTTCCAAAGACCTGTTCTTTCTGGCTTTTTCAAGTATGTCAAAGGTCACCTGTGACAGGCCTTTCCTAACCACAGAATCTGAAACAACTCCCAATCACTACAATTCCTTATTTCCTTCAGAGCACCATTCTATTTATCTACTATGTCTCTCCATCTCGGGCAGAACTGAAGCCTGAAAGAAAGCAGAATTCAGAGCCATATCCCTAACTCCTGTAACACTGCTTAGCACAGGAACCAGATCCTCCTAAGGGAAAACTAACTTTAAAAAGGTTCATACACTTACGGCTCAATTACTAAGGATGAAGGATGAAAAGATATAGATAAGCAATCTTATACATTAACATATTGATAAAATACAGAAAAACTAAAGAAAGCAGGGCCTGGTGGCACACATCTGTAATCCCAGCACCTGCTGAGGTAGGACCCCCAGAATGTGAGGTCAGCTGAGCTACACAGTGAGTTCCAGACCAGTCAGGGCTATACAACAAGACCCTCAAAAGAGAACTGGGTGCGATGCTACATGCTTTTAATCCCAGCACTGGGGAGGCAGAGGCAGGTGAGGCTACTCTGGTCTACATAGTGAGTCCCATACAGCCAGAGCTGCACTATAGAGAGACCCTGTATCAAAAAAACAAAATAAACAAGCAAACAAAAAACAACCCCTCCTCTCAAAACAGAAAACAGTCCCACAATTCATAAATAGCATGGGGGAGAGAGGAAAGTAAAAAAAAAAACAAAAATACTGTGCACTACTGTTAAATTCATCTGTGACTCTTTGGGAAGGGACTTCCACATACTGAATATGGACAAAAAAAAGCCAAAGTTTAGCTAATTAGATCACTTTTATGGCTGGGCGTTAGTGGCACACGCCTTTAATCCCAGCACATCTATGGGAGTTCAAGGCCAGCCTGGTTCACATACAGAGCGAGATACAGGACAGGCACCAAAACTACACAGAAAAATCCTGTCTCAAAAAAAAACCAAACCAAAAAAAAATCACTTTTATATCATGGAATGATACATGAGATAAAAAAAGAGAATAAAGTGATCTCCCATATTGTGTGTGAATGTGGGTTTGAGGTAAAGTTCTAGGGCAAGGATCTTTTCCATTGAAGTAGGTAAAATACACACACACTTTTTTTCTTTTTCTTTTCTTTTCTTTTTTTTTTTTTTTTGCAGAAGGCAGTGCTGGAATTAAACCCAGGGCTTCTTGCCTGCAAGGCAAGTGTGGAAGCACTGAGCTACTGCTCCAACTTAGTAGTTTACATCTTATCTTCAAATTGAAACTTGGAGGGTACTGCCATCCAGCCAGTAATAGTAACCAAGGAGGACGGGGGTAACATAATAACAATAGAAATTCAAAGATGTTCTACTTGCATGCACGTAATGGTAGGAAAGGGTCTAGACTCTAGTATGTAAACAAGTGCTGCAGTGAGTCTAAGGCTCTTATTTCACCAGCCCATAAGTGTTGAGGCAGGAGGTGTAGCATGCACGTACAATACTCCTCCCCAAAGCTATCAATCTTCACTGTCTGCAGAAACAAAAGTGAAATACTCGTGGCTAGGATGTATGAGATTGATGCCACCCTCTTCAACAGAGACTTTGGTCTCCGCGCGCGCACGTAAATAAGCCTGAGAGCACACTCTTCACCTTCCCTCCTTAGGAGGAAAATGAGGCCGAGGGAGGGGCGGCCGGCAGCAGATCGGGGAGGCCCGGGATCCGGTCCAGGGGTTGCCTGGCTTAAGGGTCAGCAGTCTGGGGAGCCGAGGTCACTCACAGGACACCATCTTGCCGGGCCTCCAGCTCCCAGCCCGCTCCCCTCCGCCAGGTCGCCCCTAACTCCGTTCCTCCGCCCCATCCCCGCCACCCATTCGCCGGGAAGGGAAGTTTCCCTGCGCCCGCAGCCCGGCTCCCCAGCTTCTAGCGGGGTTACCTTCTGCGGAAGCAAGGAGAGGACGGGGGCCCGGGGAGGGAGGCAACCCGCAGGCGTGAAGGACGAAGCCCCCGGCTCTGAGGGTGGGCGGCGGCGGCTGTCAGCTCGCGTTCCCCGGCTCACAGCGCTGCCATTACTGTGCGCCGAGGCCGCCTCCCCGGCCGGCCACCGCCACCACCCCGGAGCCACGGGGGTGCCCGGAGCAAGGCGCTGCCACTCACCTGCTGCCGAGGGAGCCGTACAGACAAGGCCGCTGCCGCGGGTCGGGATAGAGCCAGGGGAGGAGGACGGGCAGGTGGCGGGCTCGGGGAGCCAGTCGTCCTCCAGGACTCCGGGCTTTGCCCGACACACGCCCTCCGCTCTGCTCTCTCAGCCTCTTGCACTCACACACCCGCAGGATGCAATGGTCCAGTCCAGGTTACGGCAAGCCCAGGGAGCCACGCTTCGAGAATCGCGAAGCCCTTGTAATCAATTGTCAAAGTAATTCATCGCCCAGCACACTTGTCAATGAGGCAATCGCAGTTCCCTGAGCTCAAGGGATGCAGTGCCCACCAAATTTGGGGGATGTTGATATCCAAATCACAATGGGGGCGTGAAGTTCTCTTTGTTTTATTTGTATGTGATTTTTGTATGTGATTTTGTGTTTTTGAGACTGGGTCTGGCTAAGTGACTCTTGCAGGCCCGGCACTCCTTTTACAGCCTGAGCTGGCACTGAACTAGCAATCTTCCTGTCTCAGCCTCCCCATTAAGCCACCACTCCCGGCTCTTGTTTTTACCTTCAAACAAAGTCAAAGACCTAAATATCTCTTTGCAAGAGTGATGGCTCAACTCCCCCTTTGAAATACAGTGTAGGGGGTGGGGGAGGGGGAGAAGAGGGTGAACCTCACCTTTGTTATTAATTGCCTTTCCCATAGCGAAGATGTCAGTGGCTGGGGATGTGGAAGAGTTATCTCCATTTCTACCTTTGAATAAACTTTTTCTTTCCAACCTCTTCCAATCTGTGCCACTTCTTTAAAGTTCATTTAAAATCCTACCCTTGCCAGGCGTGGTAGCACATGCCTTTAATTCCAGCACTCAGGAGGCAGATCTCCGAGTTTGAGGCCAGCCTGGTCTACAGAGTGAGATCCAGGACAGGCACCAAAACTACATGAAGAAACCTTGTCTCAAAACAAACAAACAAACTTGGGAGCTAGGTATTGGGGTAAATTCTGAAAGATCAGAGAAACAGAACAAGCCACAGCCACCTCACCTCGCCAACTTCTCATCCGATCCTGTTTCCTCAGACTGGAAGCCTCTGAGTCCTCAACCCAGAATGGATGTCAGCTGAACAGCTGCTAAAAAGCCTCTAGTTCCTGGTCCTCATGCCTTATATACCTTCCTGGGATTAAAGGTGTGTGTGTGTGTTTTGAGACAGGGTTTCTGGATAGCCTTGGCTGTACTGAAACTCACTCTGTAGACCAGGCTGGCCTTGAACTCAGATATCAGCCTACCTCTACATCTTGAGTGCTGGGATTAAAGGCCTGTACTACTACTGCCCTTGGGGAGGGGGCCCTGGGGGGCACTTAAATTTAAAAGGGGCTTAATTACCATACCAAGATTGCAGATCCAAGTCAAGGGATGAAGTCTCTTCTGGTCCTGAGCAGGAGAAGCTGATGGCTGAAAGAGAGACCAGAAGTGTGTGGCTCAATGTTGAAAGTATTTGCTGCTCTTGCAGAGAGACCTGGGTTGGTTCCCAGCACCCACATGGCATCTCACAATTGTCAGCACCTCCAGTCCTAGGGATCTGATGACCTCTTCTTAACTCTACATACACCAGACATGCAAGTGGCACACAGACATCCATGCAGGCAAAACACTAATACAACACAAAATAAATAAATCTAAAAAACAAAACATTCTACCTTTTAATTCATTGGTATGACATCAATATTAAACTCCTTGAGCTGGGGACATAGGGCAAATCATTAAAATAATAGGGTGGGAGGGCAGGAAAACTATTATCCGAACCAGGTGTGGTAGCACATGCCTTTAATTTAGGAGGCAGAGGCGGGCAGATCTCTGAGTTTAAGGCCAGCTGGTCTATAAAAGAAGTTCCAGGACAGTCAGGGCTACACAGAGAAACCCTGATTTTTAAACATTTTTTAAAAAAGAAAGAAAGAAAGGCAGGGGTAGGGGGGGATCAATTATCGGACCAACTTCCCTGTCTAAACTTAAAGTTTAGTATGCACATGGCTTAGCATGAGATTGAGTTGGTATGGTGGCACAAGGTTTTAATCCCAGCACAACAGAGGCAGATGCAGGAAGATCTCTAAGTTTAAGGCCCTAATGAGTTCCAGGCCACCCAGGACTCCAAGTGAGATCCTATCTCAAACATACACAAGTCCCAAACAAAACAAACAAAAGCAGATGTCTTGGTTAGGATTTCTATTGCTGTGAAGAGACACCATGACCATGGCAAGTCTTATAAAGGAAAACATTTAATTGGGGTGGCCCACTTACAGTTCAGAGGTTCAGTCCATTGTCATCATGGTGGGTCAGGGTGGCATGCAGGCAGACATGGTTCTGGAGAAGTAGCTGAGAGTCCTACATCTTGCAGGCAACAGCAAGTGGTCTGTCTCACTGGTGTGGCTTGAACATATATGAGACCTCAAAGCCTGCCTCCACAGTGACACACTTCTTCCAACAAGACCATGCCTACTCCAACAAGGCCACACCTCCTAATAGTGCCAATCCCTTTGGGGGCCATTTTCTTTCAAACCTCCACAGCAGACATGATGGCACAGGCCTTCAATTCCAGAACTGAGGTAACTGAGGCACATGGGGACCTCTGTTTTGAGTTCCAAACCAGCCAAGGCTGCAGAGTGAAACCCTCACGGCAGGAAAATCAGGCATTCAAGGTTATCTTTGGCTACATATGAGTTCTGAGTCAGTCTTGAGAGATTATTGTTGCTATTTGTTTTTGCTCTTTTGGAGGTCCCACCACCCAGTTCCCAAATAAATCACACATGGAGTCTTATTATTACTTATAAATGCCCAGCCTTAGCTTGGCTTGTTTCTAGCTAGCTTTTCTTAAATTATCCCATCTACATTTGCCTCTGGGCTTTTTAACTTTCTTACTCATGTATATCTTACTTTCACTCTTACTCTGTGACTGGATGGCTGGCCCCTAGCATCCTTCTCTCCTGGTCTCTTGCTCTTTTTTCTTTTCCTCCCAGATTTCTCCTTCTATTTATTCTCTCTGCCTGCCAGCCCCGCCTATCCTTTCTCCTGCCTCACTATTGGCTGTTCAGGTCTTTAATAGACCATCAGGTGTTTTAGACAGGCACAGTCACACAGCTTCACAGAGTTAAACAATTGTAATATAAAGGAATGCAACACATCTTTGCATCATTAAACAAATATCCCAGAGCAGAAACAAATGTAACACACCTTAAAATAATATTCTGCAACATATTATGAGTTCTGTCTCATAACGAAAAGAAAGGAGGGGGGGGGAGGGGGGGAGGCTAACCCAGGAAGAAAAGGCAGACAGATCTTTATGAGTTCAAATCCAGCCAGAGCTACACAGTGATTTAAACAAACAAACAAAAACTAAGCATTCACAGGTATGAGCCCCCAAACAAGTTACTATTAGGGTTTATGATTGCAACCCCAGCATTTGGGGGGGTGCAGGCAAGAGGATACGACTTTGCTTTCCTCTGACTCCCGAGTGCTGGGATTCAAGAAGCACACCACCACGTGGGTTTCGGTTTTTAAAAGGTTTATTTTTCTGTCTTGTATATATTTTTGTTTTATGTGCACGGGTGTTGTGCCTACACGTATGCTAGTGCACTGTGTGCAAGTCAGGGCCCACAGCCATCTGTCCAGCCCTCTACTCTCTGTCCTTCAGCATCTCCTTCCTTCCATTAACTGAGTATTTCTGAGCTCCAGCCAGTGCATGGCTAGTGCTGAGACTAAGTTCTTAGCCCCAGTCTACCTCCTTTTACTGGAGAGCGAACCTGAGATCTCTCTCATGCTAAGTGTTAGAAAAACAGACTCTTGGTGCTGCAAAGAAAGACCAGAGCACAGTGGCACTAACCTGGCAAGGCTACTTTGTGAAAAGGGCTTGGTGCAACCCAAAGCAGACTACGGACAAGCACGCCAATGCAGGGTGCTCACTCCGTTTTTATTCTGACGAAGGTGGTGACTTGTGCTTCATCCCATGAATGGAAACTTTATCTCGCGATCTGATGGGATTGGCTAATTTATAATTGGAGAACAGGAAATGAAGGAGAGGTGTAAGAGGTCAACTGCTCGGGGTCATCAAGTTCTGGGAATGTAGAAAGGCCTTTATGTAAACACACATTTTCATCAAGTGGGAGAAATAAAAAATTACATAAAAGATTGTTGCAAGGTTGGAGAGATTTATGGACTATTGGCCCTTGGTAGACTAGCCTCCTTTGATAGAAAAAAAAACCTGTTTTCCAAAAAAAAAAAAAGTAAGGTTCTATCACTGAGCTATATCTAAGATTCAGTTTTCTTCTTGATTTTATTTTGTTGTATTAAATAATTAAATATTAATTAAGCACAACAAAATAAAATTAAAATAAATTTTAATAGTGTGTATTTGGATCTGTCTTCCCAGAAACCAGGAATATGTATCTAAATCTGTCTTCCTAGAAACGCCGTGCGAGGGCAGGAGAACTCCAGCTATCCTAACTCTGAAGAGTACTTGCCTTGCATGCACAAAGCCCCAAGGTTAATCCCCACAAACCGGTGTGTGATGGCACCAGTCGGCAATGAGAGCACTTGGGAGGTGTAGGCAGGAATCGCAGAAGTCCTAGGTCATCTTCAGCTCCTTAGGGAGTTGGAAGCCAGCCTGGGCTACATGAGACTCTGTCTCTAAACACACACATAGAAACTTTAAAAATTCTAATGCAGTATGCAAAGCAGCACAAACTTCCACTCCTAATCATACTAGGAAGTCACAATGAAAGGCATGCAATGAAACATATTTGCTCTATTAAAAAAAACACATAACAATAAAATTCATATACTTAGACACAATACTTTCAAGGAAATGCACCTTCTGAAACCTGCCAGGTGGCTTTTGGTGTGTGAATAAAATAGACGAAATAAGACTGAAGACCCTAGATCCAAAAATATTCTTCTCCAAGTCTTC